AGTTACTCTTTTTCATAGGAACTCTGTGGCTTGTATTTTAAAAAGTGGATTGTTGTGGCTGTTGTATATGATTATGTCCTGAATCCATCTGATTCTTATCCTCTGGTGCACAAGCAAGTCAGGCTAAATTAAAATGTATAGCCATACTTATACTTAGTAATAATTATTTATTATACTGTCATTAGAATCTGAAGAGAAGAAGGAAAGGGTACCAGGCAAGTGCAATACAAAAGTCTTTCTGATTTTATCTTTCCTGAATGATTTTGCAATATAGGTAGTCCTCAACTTACAACAGTTCGTTTAGTGACCGTTCAAAGTTATAACGGCACAGAAAAATTTGACTTATGACCTTTTTTCACACAACCATTGCAGCATCCCCATAGTCATGTGATCAAAAACCAGACCTTTGGAAACTGACTCATAGTTATGATGGTTGCAGTGTCCCAGGATCCTGTGATCCCCTTTTGCAACCTTCTAACAAGCAAAGTCAGCGGGGAAGCCAGAATCACTTAACAGGGCTACTAACGATCAACTGCAGTGCTTCACTTAACAACTGAGGCAAGAAAAGTCGTAAAAAGGAGCAAAACTCACTTAACAAATGTATCACGTAACAACAGACCTTTTGGGCTCAATTGTGGTTGTAAATCGGGGACTATCTGTATTCCTTTTGGCCAGGAACTCCAACTCCACATGAATGGAATCTATTTGTGCTTCTTTCTCACAACATCCTAACACCTCTCAGAAACTGGGTCAAAGGTTGATTGTCACTGCTCCCTTATGGTTCTACACAGAAGAAATTGTGGAGAATACAATTATTGCTGGTTTAGCAAAAATGGATGGAAAAGCAACATCTTCATATGATAACCAAACAAGCATATTTACCCTAAAATGTTAATACTGATTATTAAGAATCTCTGGCAAAATAATCAGTACTTTTGCAATTTGAAAGGTTATTTTGTTAAGCCTAGAGAACAAGCTGGTTTTTTTCTAATATCTCTACAATCAAATTTATCAAACTTATTTTAGAATTACTGCAGCACTTTAGGGATTTATTCATCAAAATTGGCTTTCTTTAAGCTATTGTGCTCCATCTAGTGGGCTTCAACAGAATTTTAAATACAGGAAAAATGGTAGTCACTTGCAACTACCCTTGGCTTCCCAACAAAAGATTCTCTGTGACTGTGGAAAAAACCAATCCATGTCACATAAGCTACGTTGTGTACAATTCCTTCCACATATATGAAGATCTCATACTGGTGAGAGAAAATGGTGCTGACATGGCCCGATCCTGGGCGAATATCATTTAGTTTTAATCCTACTTATTTTACATACTTTTTACATGTGTTATATTTTATGACCTATTTTATAACTATTTTATTTGGTCAGTTGAATGTTATATGTTTATAATGTGAAGGTGCTTCTGACATGAATAAAGAATCTGGTTTGATTCACCTGACATAATATGCTATGGTTTGTTTACTCCACTTATTAACTCAATTGCAAGGTTGGATTTTCATAACACGTTAAGCACAATCAAACCACATTGTAATGATGTCCTGTATGAATAAAACCAATGACTTTTATATACATAGGCCACAATTTAATCAGAATGTGTCCAAACAAACCAGACTATGCTGGGTTCATACAACTAAAAATTGTTCAACTGAGTCTCTGAAACCAGCATATTAGAAACAAATGAGAATATGCATCCATCCATTCATTCCCTTTAGAAATTGCCCATCTCCTTCAAAGGGTCTCTGGGAGGTCTACAAATAAAAGTTTAAAAACTTAAAAACTGAATATAAAATTTTTAAAATTGAGGCAAGGATGATTAAAACTCAATAATAAATATTAATTAAAAGGTGGGTGAGGGGCTTCAGGTTGCAAACCAACCTCAGGCCCCCCTTCTGAACCCCAAGTGCCAGAACCAGGCCTTTAGATATTTTTGAAAGGCCAGGAGACTTGGGGCCTGCCTCACCGTGGGATGGGCAGGGGGGCGGGTGTGTGTGTGTGGAGACTGTTCCAAAGGGCAGAGGCAAAAGCAGAGCAGGCTCTCTTCCTGGGACCTTCCAATTGGAATTCTTTAACTGACACAGTCCATAACATACCTTCTTTGCATGACTGAGTGGGATGGGCTAATGTGATGGGGCAAACCAAAGCTATAGGTAACCTGGCCCCATGCTACCATGTAGGGCTTTAAAGATCACCATAAACACCTTAATTGGACCCAGAAGCAAACTGGCATCCAGTGGAGTTCACTCAGCACAAGTATTATATGTGCCATTCTTTGAGTGCCCAAGATTGCCTGTGTGGCCACATTTTGTATCAGCTGAAGTTTCCAGATATTTTTCAAAGATAGACCAATGCATTGCAATAGTCCAAATGGGAGATGATCAGGATGTCAGTGGCCAAGTAGAGAGCCTTCCTATCCAGGAAAGTGTGTAACTGGTACACAACATAAAGTTGAGTAAAGGACCACCTTTATTTTAGGAATAACCTTTAAATAACACTTTATTAACTCATCAAAAGCCCCAGCTGTGCAAATTATTCCAAGAGATCTTTACTACAACAATCTAGCAGAAGTGATTTATCCATAGACATGGAGCAATGACCCAGGGATTTTTTTACAAGCATTCAGTATAGTTAATATCCTTTTCTTAATACATTATATTCTGCCATGTTCATAGAATTCCACTTGTTTTAAGGAAAGAATTGTAACATGGTTACTTTATATATTCTATTGATGTGTGATCTGATTAGCTGGCTTTGGAAAATGACTGTTTCAAAATACTTTTTGCCTGAAATAGATGTCAAGAATGCAGTTCCCAAAAAAGTTCCTCTCATCAAGACCCTCCCAGATCTACTTAAGTGATGAGTCTTGTTGATTTGACAGCCTGCAAAGTTGGTAATCCTATTTTTTTAAATATAAATATTTTTGTCTGAAACAGTAGACTGTGGCTCGTGTGAAAGCTTTTGGACTTATTTATCAAATTCTCTTCATGAGTTGAGTTGTCTGCCTGCGAAGTGGCTGTTCCAGTCTATATTTTTTATCATATTATTATTTTTATTGTTTATACAAATAATCCAAGGTAACAAACATATCCAAGACAAGGTCTCCTAGTCCTATTGTGATTTTAACTGGATGGACATGAGAGTTCAAGATAGTTTTTTCTTGGTCCCAAATGTTTCTTGAGTGTTAATGAGTTTATAAACTTACAACAACTAAAGATTTGACATTCTTATTGTGCTTACTGATCTTTAATACACCCAATCACTTCTGGTATCAATATTATTTTAAAAGTGCCACTTCTATTGTCATTTTCATATCATTTCCTCAGAGGACAGTGCTAACACTGTTGTCATCTAGTCTTTCAGTATTCTCAAGCTTGACATGTTGGTTTACTCTTCGTTGTATCTATATATAGTACATATGGTATATCCCTTGATTGGGGTATGTCTTTGTCTAAATGTTAATGAAGCTGTTTCTTTGCCTTGTATTTCCTGTTCATGTATCCCACTGTGGCAGTATCATGTGACATGTCGACTGCATTCACAATTGCCAACAGCAGACACCACAGAACGTCCTGGTGTGCTTGCATCAGCGTGCTGACACTCTCACCATGGCAAGTTTCTCTGAGTATGACAGAACTAGTTCAGCGTGACAAGATTAACACAGGTTCATCAGCGCCTGGGAGGTGGGCAGGCCCTATGTAGTGATCAGGAGCTGTTAAGTCATATAACATGAAGTGGTCCAGAAACCCCAGTGTGAATACTATAACCCAGGGGTCCTCAACCTCAGGTCCGTGGCTGGTACTGGACCGCAGCGTGCCAGCAACCGGTCTTCACAAACAAGCAAAGCCCCAGCAGGCAGCACACAAAACCACACCCCTTCGGGTCCGTGGAAAAACTTTTCTCCACGGAACCGGTCCCTGATGCCCAAAAGAGTGGGGACCTCTGCTATAGCCTTCAACTGATGCAGTCATAATAACATGATTTACATTCTGATGCTTGACAAGTGAGTCACTCAGTCTCCCAGGGTCACGTGATCAGCTTTTGCAACCTTCTCACAAGGAAAGTCAATGGGGAAGTCAGATTCTTTGAACCACGGGGTTACTTAACTAATTTAGCAACTTGCAGTGATTCCCTTAACAAACGTGCCAAGAAGTCATACAATGGGCCGAAAACTCACTGAACAAATTTCTCACTTAGCAACAGAAATGGGGGGGGGGTTTCCATTGTGGTCGTAAGTTGAGGACTACCTGATACTACATCACATTGCTGTATCACACGGTGGAAACTCTCTCTAGATAAGAGGCTCCCTTTTTCTCCAATCCTTGGGGAAAATGCCGAAAAAATGTCTTTACCTATAAAACTCACATCAGCCATTCGCAGAGCAATCAACGTTTTTACAAAATCAAATCTTCTTGGTCTAAGGAGCGAAATGTATGTGGCGGGGTTTTTTTTTTTTTCCTGCTGCAGCATCTAAACCAGGGGTAGTCAACCTTGGCTCTTTTATGACTCGTGGACTTCAACTCCCAGAATTCCTGAGCCAGCGCAGCTGGCTCAGGAATTCTGGGAGTTGAAGTCCACGAGTCATAAAAGAGCCAAGGTTGACTACCCCTGATCTAAACCCTGCGCTTCTCTACTGATCTTTCGCCCCCTCCTCTAACGCAAAGAGGTGGGATTGATACCGACCATCCCCTCTGCCCCTACGTAAGAAGGAAGCCTGGCTCGCTCTCTCGTCTCTCTCTCTCAAAAAAGGAGTCTCACTCGTACATCCGCCGGGTGGTTCCGGCGGCTGAGACGCCCCCCCCCCTCCGATCCCGGGCTCACGCTCGTGACTCCAGAGCTGGGAGCCGCGGCAGCAGACAGCCCTCGTGCACCACCCGGAAGCAGAGGGAGGCGAGGGCGGGTCTTCGGCCGGAGACCAAACGGATGGTGGGCCCGGCGCCGGAGGGATCCGGAGCGTGGCTTGAGTGGCCGAGTGCCGCGCTCCCTCCCTCCCTTCCTCCGCTGGACTCGGCGCAGGGAGCGATGTGATTGGGCGGGCGGGCGGTCCGTCCTTCCTCGGATTCCCTCGCCTGCCCTCCGCCTCCGGCTCGTTTGCTCCCGGGTTTCCTAGCGGAGGAAGGTACGCCGGTGGGAGGGAGCGGGCTCGGGATGCGGCAGCCTCGTCGCCGAGGGTCGGGAGGGATGGCGGAGCCTCTCCCCGAGTAGGGGCTGGGGCTTCATTTCTCGGGATTGGGGCTCCGCGTTGCCTTGGAGCCCCTCCCCTCCCTTTGGCATCTGGCAACTTTTGGCTCCCCTTGAAACCTCATTGGGGGGGGGACTGGTGGCGAGGAGGAGAAGGCACTCTGCACTCGCTTCGGGGCACGCTCGATCCCTGCTGCGTGGATTCTCCCGTGGCGAGGAAGTGCCCGAGGCCAGCCCTTGGTCTGGTTGAGTTTGGGTGGGTGGGTGGGAGATAGGGTTGCCAGGTCTGCTTCCAAAAAATAGCGGACAAGCGGGGGGGGGGGTGTTAAGTAGTAAAAAAAAGTAGACCGTACAGCTTTAGATTACGTACCATTTCATCATAAAGCTTTTGAATAAAAAAAAAAATCTCCACTATTTTGTGAAAAAAAATAGTGAACATAATGTGAAAAAAGTGGACTGTCCACTCAAATAGTGGACACCTGGCAACCCTAGTGGGAGAGGGACCGCGAGGGAAGGAACCAAAGCGCTGGAAATCCTGCTCTATAAAGTTTTATCCTGGAAGGTGGGATCTCTCGCATTTGTCTCCCGGAGGAGGGATCTTTGCCCAACCCTTGGAGGGACTTTTATTATTCAATGTGTACCTCTGTTTTGGGAGAAGCAGTTAAATTAACACGGTAGACAGGGAAGATAGACAGGGATCTGAGCTTGGCTAACCTAAAAAAAGTAAAATAAATCCAGGATCCGTTGAAGTTACTGTTTGGATTGGAGACCACCGAGAAGTCTTCAGATTATAAACTTGCGTGGGAATTTTTTTTTTTTTTTTTAAAAAAGAAAATCCCAGAAGGCATGGCCAATTATTTCTGTACTGCTGCCAAGAAAACATGGAAGTTACATCCATAAAATCACCAGAGGGAAGGGAGTTCAATCTCAAGGAGACTTGATAATCCACTTACTTTGAAGAGAAAATTCTCTAGTCTACAGTTTATGGAAGGGTGGGGAAAAAAAATTGTCTTTCACGCTGAATTTTGTTTGTAGTTCCCTGGTATTAATGATTTTAATAACTGACTTCCTTGCCACCGCATTCAGTGGAAATGCGTCCTTTTGTATTGAATGAATACAGTACATCTCTCTCAAGCAGTATATTTAAAATAGGTTTGGTCTTTGAATAGTTCTGTGGAAGTGTGCTATATTTAGAGAATAGCATAGCAGAGAAGCAGGGTAGATAAAGATCAATATGTAGAAGAAAGAGCCATTAATGTGGCTTAACCGAATAACCATATGGCAGATAAGATAGAAATGAAAACCAGTTGTTACAAAAGATGCAAATGATAAACAGTGGCGATATAATTCTTAAGTTTTCTTCATAAGTTTTCCAATGCTATCTACATTATTACCTTTGGAAATAATGTAGTTTTAAAATATTTTGGAAAATTATAGCTACCGTGTCACACTTTTGTGTGTGTGTGTCTATGTGTGTGTCTGTGTATGCCTTTGAGTCAACATTGATTCCTGGGACTGCCTGAACAAGTTTCTGAGTTTTCTTGGCAAGATGTTAAAAGTGATTTGCTATTGCCTCCTTCCTTGGTCTGAACGGAGGACTGACCTATGGTCACCCAATTGGCTTTGTGCCTAAGGCAGGGTTAGAACTTACTCTCTCCCAACCCCATGCAGCCCTGGACAGCTAGTGATGCTGCCCCACGAGATCATAAACTTTTAACATTATTAATGTGCATTTATTACATTACTATATTATATATATATAGTATATATAAATATAGAGTAATTGTATATTAGATTTTTATTTTTTGTAAGCTGCCTAGAGCAGTGGTTCTCAACCTGTGGGTCGGGACCCCATTTGGGGTCGATCGACCATTTCATGGGAGTCGCCAAGCAAGGCTGTCCGCCATTTTTTTTGTCCGCCATTTTTTCCCCCTTTTCCGGCGGGTGCCTTACCTCCCTTGGGCTGGGCCAGCTGGTGGTCGGCCTGCTCCGTCTCTACCACTTGCCAGCTACGCCTCGGCCGGCGTAGGGGGCGGAACCACGCATGCGCGGCGCTCCCGGGCAGGGAAAGTCCTCGACTTACGACCGGTTGGGTAGTCCTCGACTTACGACCGGTTTAGTCCTCGACTTACGACCAGTTGGGGTCACGGCATTAAAAAGGTTGAGAACCACTGGCCTAGAGTCACTGAAAGTGAGTGGGCGGCTATATAAATTCTCAAAACAAATTAAAAATATATTTTATATACGCCAAGGCAATTCCTCTTTACTCAATGCGGCTCAGGCAAACCAAAAGGTTGAATATGCCTGTTCTAGCATGATGCCCTAACCCAGTGGTTCTCAACCTGTGGGTCGGGACCCCATTTGGGGTCGATCGACCATTTCACGGGGGTCGCCAAGCAAGGCTGTCTGCCATTTTTTTTGTCCGCCATTTTTTCCCCCTTTTCCGGCGGGTGCCTTACCTCTCTTGGGCTGGGCCAGCTGGTGGTCGGCCTGCTCCATCTCTGCCGCTTGCCAGCTACGCCTCGGCCGGCACAGGGGGGAGCCACGCATGCGCGGCGCTCCCGGGCAGGGAAAGTCCTCGACTTACGACCGGTTGGGTAGTCCTCGAGCTACGACCGGTTTAGTCCTCGACTTACGACCGGTTGGGTTCACGGCATTAAAAAGGTTGAGAACCACTGCGGGCCTAACCAATTCACCCAACTGGCTCTGTGTCACTCTTACAGAATATAAAAGTTATCCATGAACTATAGATATTGTATAGAAAGTGATACTTTTATGGTACCCATTTTCTATAGGTAAAATGAAAAACATGCAGTGAAGCTTTACAACACTGACTGTTATCTTCATATTAATTAAGTCTCCAATTATTTGGAAGAAGAGTGGGATTAATATATATGTAATAATACCAAAATTTTGAAGTATGCATCTCTTCCTTATAGTGTGGATAGAGGTGATAGATTCAGGGAGATCAGTAGAGAAGTGAAGAGAATTAATCCATATTTATTCAGAAAGCTATTATATTCTGTACTTTCTTTGCTTTTTATAGTCAGAATCTTCTAGTGAATCCTGATACAGTATTACACCTTTTTAAACAATATTGTCATTACATTGGCAGCAAAATAATCTGTAAATCAAGCTCTGGAACAGATTGTTCCAATTGCTACATGCTTCAAGTAAAAGTATGCTGTAGAACTGGAATAAAGTTCCTGTAGTGTTGCCTTGAGATGATTGTTTGGTGTTTGTGCTGATGAAATAGTTCAACATTTAGGGTAATTTGCCCCTCAGTCTCAATTATAACAGGAAACAGAAACTACAGTGTCATGTACAATGCTATAGGATGTGTGACTGCAGTAAATATTGAAGTAGGGATTTTCTAAGTTAATTACTGTGGTATTTCAACTCAGTTCTGTGACTTTAAAACATATCCACAGTTTATATTAAGTTGTTCATAAGTACATAAACTTCATAGTGAAATGATTGCCTAGAACTGCAGTACAGATAAGTTGCAATACAGAGCAATTGGTCTGAAGGTATTGCTTGGACTTTAATTACTGTTCTTCAGAATTGTCCTTGAAACATTTTTAAATTGTTTTAAGGTATAAGTAGCCCTTTCTCCTATGTAAGCAAAATCAGGTAAATCTGATGGATTGGTTTCTTTGCTATTTAGTATCTTGAGATAATGACTGTAAAGCAAATATTGAAATCTCATGTAGCCATTTTGAAAAACAATGACCAAGTTTGATAACGGTGAACTATATGCAACAATTTATTACAAACCTGTTATAAATAATGTTTATTGCAAACATGAAAATGTCAGAATTGTATTTTGAAACAGGCCAATGTCTGTTTAGACAACACTCAAATTATTTCAAGTAGCTAATCAAATACTTCAGGGAGCTCAGAAGTGGCGCATGCTATTTCCTGTTATTTTTCATAGCTATTATTGCTAATAAACATTGGTCTATTTTTCTGGAAATTCAGAATTAAGATCATTAAAGTATGTTCACAAAAATAATACTAAAGGAAGAAGTCTATGTAGCAATTTGCTATATCCACATCTCTATTTAAATAGTGTGAGTTTTACAACAGGTTTGCTTTAAATTATTGATATTTCCTTTGATATATTGTGTAATTGTGGCTTTTTTCTGAAAGATGAAAACGAGTGAGTGTGTGTGTGTATTTCATTCATTCATTTTCACCATTCTAAATTCAATATGTTCCTAGTTTGGAGAAAAGTTCAAACTTTCTTTGATCGTTAACTAAGGCCACTATGCCTTTATGTATTGAAACCAAAAGAAAAGGTTTTTTTTAACAGCTACAAAACCATGTATTGCTAATGCCTAAAGTTCTGCAATTAATTTAGGATGTTGAGATGATTCATGGCAGGAATAAAAGTTGGTTTGACATCTTACTCTTCTGAGCAATATGTGCCTAGAGCACTCATAATCATACTGGGATGAGTGATACTGACAGTTATACAATTCCTAGTTGGGAATTATATGCCTCTTTGTGTGTTGAAAGTAGAGAAGGTTATAATTTTAATCAAATGTCATTGCTTATAGAACTTAAATATGCTTCAATATTGTGTTATGTGTTTGATAAATGATCAGAATTATAGAGTGGTTTTCTTCAGAGAAGACGGAACTTTGATGTCCCTAGTTGTTTTTGTTAGTTTTGCTTTAATCATTGCATCCCAGTTCTTCAGTTTTTGCTAACTTCAGAAAAAAGCAGCCATTTCTGTGGAATTTTTTTTTACACACAATTCCTTGCTTTTCATACTAGATGGAAGGTGTCTCATATCCCACCCTCCATACAAAACAAATGGGACTTTAATAATCAAGTAATGAATGCCATAAGCATCTATTCATTGCTTGGGGACCCTTTTAAATGCTGGGGGGGGCTCGAGGGAACCCCGCCTGCGCCCCTCCCGGGCTGCTGAAGCCGGACGGGGTCCCCTCTCGGGAGCCCATCCGAGCCAAGCTGGGTGTCCCGGGGCGCTAACAATAACAATAATCCCCTCGCTAAAGGCTCCGGGCAGACCCCTGAAGGGAGTGAGGGGAGGCTGGCCTGGCCGGTGCTGGACCTGTGCCGCCGCTGCCTCATCCTGAGTCTATGTGGCCGCCCGGGAGCGCCTGGCCCGCAACGCCTGCTGCCGCCTGGGCCTGCCTGCCGTCCGCCCCCTCCCGCCGCCCCCCACTGGCATCCGTTTACCTTTCCCAGGCAAATGTGGCAAGTGATGGGCAGCGTGAGAGACAATGTAACACTCTGAACGTTCTGAGCCATTGTGGCGTTTCGAATCCCGCAAGCGTGAAAGTACCAACCCACAAAGCTGCAAGCCCCGCAGCAGGGATGGAAAGGCGAACCCCTCGCTCTTCCAACTCTTACGCTGCTTAAGGCTTCGTGTACGGCGAGCCACCGAGGCCAATTTCCTCCGTGAGAAGAGAACGCTTTCCCTCTGCTCCCCCCCACCCAAACTCTCCTCCTCGAAAGGGGCGGGGCTGAGAGACAGGAGCTCCTTGAGCGCCACGATGGGCGGTTCTTAGGGAAATTACCCTCCTCTCTGACCGTTTTGAAATAAAGTAATCAAATATACTAAGGGCAATTTGGGATTCATTTCACTCCAAATGCAAAGCTGGGAGATGTAGAGAATGATCGGAAAGTTGTCATTTCTATAACTGAATCTTTTTCGAATAACCAGGAAGAAGACGATCCTAAATTGTCGAATAGAATAGAATAGAATATAGAGCAGAGCAGAGTAGAGTAGAAAATATGGAATGGAATGGAATAGAATAGGGCAGAACAGAACAGAATAGAATATAGAGTAGGGCAGGGCAGGGCAGGGCAGGGCAGGGCAGGGCAGAGATGGAATGGAATGGAGAGCAGAGCAGAGTAGACAATATGGAAGAGAGAATAGAATAGACAATATGGAATAGAGTAGAATAGAATAGAATTATGTTCAATTTGTAACAATGAAAATATATCCTGCATATCAGATATTTACATTACGATTCATAACAGTAGCAAAATTACAGTTATGAAGTAGCAACGAAAATAATTTTATGGTTGGGGGTCACCACATAAGGAACTGTATTAAAGGGTCACGGCATTAGGAAGGTTGAAAGAGGTTTTATGTATCTGTGTGTGTATATTGCTATCTACCTACTTATATAAACTTTTCACCATTACATGTGAGGTAGGTTGGGCTGAGAGTGAAGAACAAGTCCAAAATCATCCAATCAGCTCCGTAGTTGAATGAAATTGATGTCAACTTTAGAATGAGCAACTTTAGAATGAGCTGCAGCCATTTTTTCCTTCTCATTTCTAGTTGACACATAGCACAGAGGGAGGGGGGTTGTCAGGTGTTGTGCTAGACCAGGGGTAGGCAACCTTGGCTCTTTTGACTCGTGGACTTCAACTTGCAGAATTCCTGAGCCAGCCATGCTAAACCTTGAAGCCTAACACTGCCCCCCTGGGGTTTATTAAAACATTTTTATAGTTAGCATATTGCAGGCAATGCTAGTATCGGATACCTTGCTACTGTCAATAGATCTTAAAATCAAAAAGCCAAAAATTTGCCTATTATGCCTGTACTTTTCAACTTTAATACTAAGACTTTTAATTCACAGAATTTCCTGGCTGGGGAATTTGGGGAATTGGTCCACGGTTCTTAAACTTGCTAAGGTTGCGAAAGACTGGCTGATACTGAGCAACTCTTATTGTTGTGTACTATTGTATCTTACTTTTCCTCACAATGGCTAATTATTATTTTTGTTTTTAAGGCACAGAGCATGGAGAATGATGAATTTTCGTCAGAGGATGGGATGGATTGGTGTGGGACTGTACCTAGTAGCAAGTGCTGCAGCCTTTTACTATGTCTTCGAAATCAATGAGACTTACAATCGACTAGCACTGGAACACATTCAGCAACCCCCAGAGAAATTTAAACAAGAAATCAGTTGGATGCATTCCTTAAAAACACGTCTTCTCTCTGTACCCTTTTGGCTATGGGCCATTATCTTTTTAATACCTTATTTACAAATGTTCTTATTCCTTTACTCGTGTACGAGGGCTGATCCTAAAACAGTGGGCTACTGCATAATTCCTATCTGCTTGGCTGTGGTTTGCAATCGTCATCAAACATTTGCAAAGGCCTCCAATCAAATCAGCAGACTGCAGCTTATTGACACGTAAGGAAATCAATGTGGCCTCTCCCCTTCCCCAGTGGCTGGCTTTTGATAAGTTGAAGATCAATTGAATATTTGAAAGGAACTTGAAATTTTTTTTCTCAACATTAACCTCTGGACAGAGCACCTACCAACCTTCTATTTTTTTTTTTTTTAACAAGATGATTTTTAACTGTGGGGGGGTATTCTGTTTGGTGAAAAGTTCTTTTGAGAACAGAGGGTAACATTCTTCATATTTGCCTTACAAAGCAGAATTTCTACACTCCATCTGAAGATTTTAGAGTAAATATATATTTGAAACCCTAATTCACTGTGCATCCTTCAAAACGTCAAGTTTCCTATAAGGGAACTGCTGAAAATTGACTTTGCCTATGTTTATGTGTAAACTTTGGAATTATTATAAAAGTGGCATTGAGACATTGTCCTTTCTTCTTTGATGATGTTGCACTAAATAAATGAGATTCCTTTTGCACACATGTTTAAAAGAAAATTATCTTTTTATTTGATCATATATTTTACTTCTGCATAATTTCTTTAAAATGTAATGCTATTCATGTTTCAAAAACAAGTTGTTTAATATTCCATTCTCTAATCAAGTACCTGAATCATTGCAAAGATAATAAAATGCATTTCATACAAAATAACTAGAACCAAACTAAAATCCAGTCTACAAGTCTCAGTGGCAATATTCTGAATATTGACTATTTCTGAGAACTGTAAGCTCACAGACACACCATTGGGAAGGTTATTTGGGTGCAGAAATGGGGAAACAATGGATCTTCAGATAATATCTAACTAAAAATTCCATTTTTGATAACTTGGATAAGTAGAAATTGAAGCGCAACAACAGAAAATTCCCCATTATCAGTTTTTAATCCTTGCAAATAACAACATACATTTATACTATTCAAAATTACTACCACTAAAATATGTGTGTACCTGACTCCCAACTCTTGAGAGGTTACAAATAAAATATTAAAAACAAGAAAAATACATCAATAAACAAAAAAACAACAACAACCCACCTCCAGGTATGAACAAAAAAGAAATAAGGCAACAGTTAAATAAAAAAAAAATATTGAGACCAGAACTGTAAACCGAGTATCTCAGAAAAAATCCACTCTAATTCTCATGAAGATAAAAGGGAAAGGGGGAAGTACATTCAGACTTTTAAGATTCTGTTACTATAATCTTACAGCAAAAGGAGCATTAGCATGCAGAATCTTAGTTTCCAAGCCTGTGGTCTACCTTGAAGGGCTAAAACAATCTTGGCAGTCTCGGTATGTTTACCCTCTTCCTCTATCTGCTTGCCCTCTCTTCTACTTCTCCGGCTCACTCACGCCCTCTAGTTTGGCTTTCCTTTTTCTAGTTCGAAAGCTTGGTGGGGTGTATGCTAACCTGGCTTTCTAAGGACCTTGAAAAAAAACTGGCTAAACTTGCCAGCTGTAGATGTAATGCACATCAAAAGCTAGGGTTGGCCAACTGAATTGATGGATGATGTGCTGGTCAGTTTGCCCCTTTTTCAGCAGATTGGAGAGCAACCGAGTGCTTCCCCCGAGGTTTTCTGATAAATGCTGGGCTGTAAAACTTGGGGGGGGGGGTATTAGCTGAGCCTAGCCTTGTTGGGAATTGAGGAGGGTATTTCTGCCTGGCAGTAGTTGCTCCAGTCAAGCGTTATTAGTGCTGCCTTTCCCAAGCACAAAGGGTACTTTCAACTTTGCTTCTCTTTTACTTGCTCATACATACAATCTTCTTGTTGAATAATTTAAAATAACAGATACATAACTTTATGAACAATTTTAAATCAACATCCAATCAAACAGCCTTGATTTTTTTAAATATAAGTTTTCATAGTATGGGAACTTTAATATTTTTTAAAAAAAGTTTTATAGTTTCCATCAGGAGTGTGGTTTTGTCCGTTTTAATGGTGGTTCATCTGAATATCCTTTGGTATTGATATGCTTCCCTTCTTCCTCTTCTTCTTCCTCCTCATCTTCATCTCCATTATCACCTACAAAAATATTAATCATCACATAGAACTATTTTTTCTATTAACAAGTGCCTCCTAAAGTATCATTCTACTTGTGATAAACTTATTTCCATAATAGAATTCAATTTTTCTCTGCTAGTTCAAGTTCAAAATACATGTGAGCAAAAGATTATACACAGAGTTGTGTTTCTATACTTTAGAAATAATTAGATATTTTGTTAGGTATAGTTGATTAGTTGTACTTTTACATTGTGTTTGAACGACAATCTGATGCACTCAGCTACTTCCCCAGAATACATCCTCAGAATACACTAGCAATGTAGGGTAACCATTCTCCTGACTGAATTGTGAGTTGGAATTATCAGTGTCTGCCTAGTTACTTACAGATGACTAGGAAGTCATCATTTTGATTTTTTTTAATAAAGTCTTTCAGAAAATTCAGAATAAAATCTGTACTAATCTGCAGTCAGCATCACCTCAGATAGAAATTCAGCCTTCCCAATGCTTTTTTAACTCTCTTTTACAGTTGGGCTAGTGGGGAGGAACTATGAAAATCCCAGAGCCACAGTTTTCCCAGAGCAGACTTACTTTTGAAGGGCCCATCTAGATTTCTGTAAACAGATGTAAAAATTAATCATCTGTTAACTCCCCTGTTCCTGTTTGAACATGACTACATTACTGTAGTCCTCAATATCGGTTAAGAATTGATGCTGACTTTTCTGACACTCCTCTGCTGCTGTTAATTATGCCATGGGCTTGTGTTCCTTCTGAATGGTTTTTATAAGGATATCTACACTTGATGATATTGTGCTCGTGTTTAAAAAGGCTGAAAAGCCATGATGTGAAAGCTATTGCTGAATTAGCCCCCTGGCCATAGATGGAAAGGTCCTTGTGCAAGTTATCAGAAAATACATATAGCAGATAAGAGAATTTCCACCAAGAAAGAACAAGGTGGTTTCAGAGCAAACCATGGCTGTGTATGCCAGACTTTCACCATCAGGCAAGTAAATTGTTACTACAGTATATTTATTGTTTTCAATACTACCTTTAAGAGTTTCCACTGGGATTTTGAGTAGAAAGCTGTTTTGGTGATCAGCATATGCAGCAAAATCACCTGAGCCTTTGCTGCATTTTAGGACACAGTTAAGTGCACAAGTGCACAATGATAAAACTAGTCCTTTTATAGTCAAAACAGGAATGTGATGAGGGTATGTATTATAACCATTGTTGTTCAATGAGGTGATAGATTGGATAACAGGGAAAAGTCAGAAATACAAGAACTCAATGTAAGGCAGATAAACTGAATTTCACTGATGCAACATAAACCAATGACACTGTTTTCACAGAGGAATCAGAACAGAAGGCACAGGAACTATTAGGTGTCATAAAAGAGCAGAGGGGTTTGGACTAAAACAAAACATGACTATGTCACCTCATGACTCAGAAATTAATATGGCCTTTAGAAATGAGCCAAATGAACAAGTGCATGAGTTAAAAAACCTAGTTATCTGATTTTGCATCAACAGTAGCCAGATTCACTGATGTTGGATGAATTGGTAGTGCTCAGTCAGCTTTTGCCAATTAATAGTAATGTCTTTGTAAAAGGAAAAACAGCTGAAAATTAAGTATCCAATGTAGCCATCATGCTACTCATGTTCTATGCAGCAGAAATGTGCGCATAGTATACTCAGCACCCATGGAAAATTTCAGATGAAGTGTTTTAGGACAATCCTGTATGATTGACGTTGGAATGGGAACATTACATTGATATGTCAACTGTCCATCACTGATAATATGATCTGGCAATCATTCCTTTGTTGTTCCAAAGATGCTTTTTCACGAGGCAACTGGACGGTGTTTTTCTTTGAAGACATTTCGCTGAAGAAACTTCTTGGATGAGAAGCGAAACATCTTCAAAGAAAAACAAGAAAGTCCAGTTGGCTTGTGAAAAAGCATCTTTGGGATGCCAAATAGAGGCTGACATATGATAGTTACACTCTAATATCAGTAAGCTGCATCTGCTCAGGACACAGAACAGGGTAGAAGGGTATCTGCAGTTACTTCTCAACCATGGCCACCACAGCTCCAGTAGCAATATCCTATAATGGGGATGTCCTGCCAATGCCAGAACACATGAATGAATAACTTCCATCCTTTGCAGGGGAATACAATGTTATCAAATGCTGCTGAGGTCTAGGACAGTGGTTCTCAACCTTTTTAATGCTGCGACCCCAACCGGTCGTAAGTCGAGGACTAAACCGGTCGTAAGTCGAGGACTAAACCAATCGTAAGTCAAGGACTACCCAACCGGTTGTAAATCGAGGACTTTCCCTGCCTGGGAGCGCCACGCATGCGTGGTTCCGCCCCCTGAGCCGGCCGAGGCGTAGCTCGCAAGCGGCAGAGACGGAGCAGGCCGACCACCAGCTGGCCCAGCCCAAGGGAGGTAAGGCACCTGCTGGAAAAGGGGGAAAAAAATGGCGGACAAAAAAAATGGTGGACAGCCTTGCTTGGCGACCCCTATGAAATGGTCGATCGACCCCAAATGGGGTCCTGACCCACAGGTTGAGAACCACTGGTCTAGGAGGACTGAGAAAGGTGCATTCCCCTCATCCTGGACACGATAAAAATCATCAACCAAAGCAACCAATATCAGTTTCAATCAATGACCAGGTCTGAATCCTAAATGACAGTGACCTAGATAAATCATTTTATTATTTATTTGTATCTCACCTTTATTTTTACAAATACGTCAAGATAGCGAACATATCCAACACACCTTCTTCCTATTTTCTCAACCACCACCACTACCACTCTGTGAGGCAAGTTAGGCTGAGAGTGATTGGCTCTAAGTCACCCATGCTCAACAAACTTATCTAAAAAGGGCAGGTTGGAAACAGTGAAAGTGTAAAAAAATGAATTGCTCAAGGGAGGGCTTTAGCGAGGGTGCATTACTCCCATCTTCAAAACAGGTGGCATCACATCCTTTCTCAAAGATACATGACATGATTCTCTCATCTCTCTTTCTGAGGATCTCAAGTCAATTCAATAAAACAATCAGAGATATCATTCATTCTTGGTTTTATGAATGGGTCTGTCACTAACCCATGGATTCCTACTTTCATATACTCACAATTAGATGACACCAATTTATATTTTCTGACATACGCTTTAGCCCTTCATTCATAATTAAATCTATACCTTAATTTTTCTGCATGTATTCAGCAGTTTTATTCCGTAAGATCAGGCAATTTCATTCAGCTCTATTACATCCTTCCTCTTTCTCTTAGAATCACTGACAGACATTTTCTTTTTATTATGTTTTTAATATATGGCCTTTACTTTTTACTCCTTTTACATTCCAAGTTGCAGTTTCTTCCACAGGTCATTCGCATGACCTTTTGGGCCACCAGATATTGAATAGAATAGAGCTGGAAGGGACATTGGAGGTCTTCTAGTCCAGCCCCCTCAAGCAGGAAAACCTATACCATCTCAAATGATTGTCTAGCCTCTTTTTAAAAATCTCCAGTGATGGAGCGCCCACGATTTCTGGGGGCAAGCTATTCTACTGATTAATTGTTCTCACTGTCAGCAAGTTTCTCCTTAATTGTAGGTTGCTTCTCTCTTTGATCAGTTTCAACCATTGTTTCTTGTCCTGCCCTCTGGTGCTTTGGTGAATAACATGACCCCCTCTTCTTTGCAGCGGCCCCTCAAATACTGGAAAACTGCTATCATGTCTCCCCTATTTCTTCTTTTCTTAGACTAGCCAAACCCAAGTCCTGCAGCCGTTCTTCATGTGTTTTAGTCTCCAGGCCTTTGATCATCTTAGTTCCTCTTCTCTGAATTTTTTCCAAACTCTCAACATCTTTTTTGTGATATGGTGACCAAAACTGGCTGTAGTATTCCAGGTGTGGTCTTACTAGGGTTTTATAAAGTGGTACTAGTACCTTGTGTGATCTTGATTCTATGCATGTTTATACAACACAGGATTGTATTAGCTTTTTTGGCTGCTGCTGCACACTGCTGGTTCATGGTTAAGTGATCATTTACTAGGACTCAAAGGTCCCTCTCACAGTTACTGTTTTTAAGCCAGGTCTTGCCCAATCTGTACCTTCGATTTTTTCCTACCTAAACTTCGCTTTTCTCCACACTGAAACTCATTTTGTTGGATAGGGCCCATTGTTCAAGTTTGTAAAGATCTTTTTGGGTCCCGAGTTTGTCTTCTACGGTGTTGGCTACTCCTGTCAGTTTGGTGTCATCTGCAAATTTGATGTGTTCCTCTTCAATTCCCTCATCTAAGTCATTGATGAAGATATTGAAGAATACTGGGCTTAAGACGGAACCTTGTGGTACCCCATTGCTTACTTCTCTCCATGTGGATGTATTGCCATTGAGGACTACTCGTTGAGTACGGTTTGCCAGCCAGCTGCAGATCCATCTGGTAGTAGTGTTGTCTATTCCACCTTTTTCTAGCTTACCAAGGAGTAGGTTGTGGTCTACTTTATCAAATGCCTTACTGAAGTCTAAGTATCCATGTTAGACAAGGCTTTGAGACGATTCTCTTTGGTAAGATAGAAAGATGAGGTAAAAGTTACCAAGCCTTAATTCCATCCATGCCAAATGCAACCTCCCCTGCTAACAATAAGGATCATACTGGTCAGTTTGGATTAGTATGCCCCAAACACAATCAAAGCCCAATTTTATCCTCGCTCATAGGACGCAATATCCCAAAACATCCTCCTTCATTTGGGAGCTGAAATAGAGCAATCAAATCTGTCCTCACAGGTACCACATAGAGCAGGGGTAGGCAACCTTGGCTCTTTTATGACTCTAGACCAGTGGTTCTCAACCTTTTTAATGCCGCGACCCCAACTGGTCGTAAGTCGAGGACTAAACCGGTCGTAAGTCGAGGACTAAACCAGTCGTAAGTCAAGAACTAAACCGGTCGTAAGTCGAGGACTACCCAACCGGTCGTAAGTCGAGGACTTTCCCTGCCCGGGAGCACCGCGCATGCGTGGTTCCGCCCCCTGCGCCGGCCGAGGCGTAGCTGGCAAGCGGCAGAGACGGAGCAGGCCGACCACCAGCTGGCCCAGCCCAAGGGAGGTAAGGCACCTGCCAGAAAAGGGGAAAAAAATGGCGGACAAAAAAAAATGGCGGACAGCCTTGCTTGGCGACCCCCATGAAATGGTCGATCGACCCCAAATGNTTTATTTGTATCTCACCTTTATTTTTACAAATACGTCAAGATAGCGAACATATCCAACACACCTTCTTCCTATTTTCTCAACCACCACCACTACCACTCTGTGAGGCAAGTTAGGCTGAGAGTGATTGGCTCTAAGTCACCCATGCTCAACAAACTTATCTAAAAAGGGCAGGTTGGAAACAGTGAAAGTGTAAAAAAAATGAATTGCTCAAGGGAGGGCTTTAGCGAGGGTGCATTACTCCCATCTTCAAAACAGGTGGCATCACATCCTTTCTCAAAGATACATGACATGATTCTCTCATCTCTCTTTCTGAGGATCTCAAGTCAATTCAATAAAACAATCAGAGATATCATTCATTCTTGGTTTTATGAATGGGTCTGTCACTAACCCATGGATTCCTACTTTCATATACTCACAATTAGATGACACCAATTTATATTTTCTGACATACGCTTTAGCCCTTCATTCATAATTAAATCTATACCTTAATTTTTCTGCATGTATTCAGCAGTTTTATTCCGTAAGATCAGGCAATTTCATTCAGCTCTATTACATCCTTCCTCTTTCTCTTAGAATCACTGACAGACATTTTCTTTTTAAAAATCTCCACGATTTCTGGGGCAAGCTATTCTACTGATTAATTGTCCTCACTGTCAGCAAGTTTCTCCTTAATTGCAGGTTGCTTCTCTCTTTGATCAGTTTCAACCATTGTTTCTTGTCCTGCCCTCTGGTGCTTTGGTGAATAACATGACCCCCTCTTCTTTGCAGCGGCCCCTCAAATACTGGAAAACTGCTATCATGTCTCCCCTATTTCTTCTTTTCTTAGACTAGCCAAACCCAAGTCCTGCAGCCGTTCTTCATGTGTTTTAGTCTCCAGGCCTTTGATCATCTTAGTTCCTCTTCTCTGAATTTTTTCCAAACTCTCAACATCTTTTTTGTGATATGGTGACCAAAACTGGCTGTAGTATTCCAGGTGTGGTCTTACTAGGTACTAGTACCTTGTGTGATCTTGATTCTATGCGTGTTTATACAACACAGGATTGTATTAGCTTTTTTGGCTGCTGCTGCACACTGCTGGTTCATGGTTAAGTGATCATTTACTAGGACTCAAAGGTCCCTCTCACAGTTACTGTTTTTAAGCCAGGTCTTGCCCAATCTGTACTTGTACCTTTGATTTTTTCCTACCTAAACTTTGCTTTTCTCCACACTGAAACTCATTTTGTTGGATAGGGCCCATTCAAGTTTGTAAAGATCTTTTTGGGTCCCGAGTTTGTCTTCTACGGTGTTGGCTACTCCTGTCAGTTTGGTGTCATCTGCAAATTTGATGTGTTCCCCTTCAATTCCCTCATCTAAGTCATTGATGAAGATATTGAAGAATACTGGGCTTAAGACGGAACCTTGTGGTACCCCACTGCCTACTTCTCTCCATGTGGATGTATTGCCATTGAGGACTACTCGTTGAGTACGGTTTGCCAGCCAGCTGCAGATCCATCTGGTGGTGGTGTTGTCTATTCCACCTTTTTCTAGCTTACCAAGGAGTAGGTTGTGGTCTACTTTATCAAATGCCTTACTGAAGTCTAAGTATCCATGTTAGACAAAGCTTTGAGACGATTCTCTTTGGTAAGATAGAAAGATGAGGTAAAAGTTACCAAGCCTTAATTCCATCCATGCCAAACGCAACCTCCCCTGCTAAAAATAAGGATCACACTGGTCAGTTTGGATTAGTATGCCCCAAACACAATCAAAGCCCAATTTTATCCTCGCTCATAGGACGCAATATCCCAAAACGCCCTCCTTCATTTGGGAGCTGAAATAGAGCAATCAAATCTGTCCTCACAGGTACCACATAGAGCAGGGGTAGGCAACCTTGGCTCTTTTATGACTCTAGACCAGTGGTTCTCAACCTTTTTAATGCCGCGACCCCAACTGGTCGTAAGTCGAGGACTAAACCGGTCGTAAGTCGAGGACTAAACCAGTCGTAAGTCAAGGACTAAACCGGTCGTAAGTCGAGGACTACCCAACCGGTCGTAAGTCGAGGACTTTCCCTGCCCGGGAGCACTGCGCATGCGTGGTTCCGCCCCCTGCGCCGGCCGAGGCGTAGCTGGCAAGCGGCAGAGACGGAGCAGGCCGACCACCAGCTGGCCCAGCCCAAGGGAGGTAAGGCACCTGCCAGAAAAGGGGAAAAAAATGGCGGACAAAAAAAAATGGCGGACAGCCTTGCTTGGCGACCCCCATGAAATGGTCGATCGACCCCAAATGGGGTCCCGACCCACAGGCTGAGAACCACTGCTCGAGACTTCAATTCCCAGAATTCTTGAGCCAGCCATGCTGGCTCAGGAATTCTGGGAATTGAAGTCCACGAGTCATAATAGAGCAGTGTTTCTCAACCTTGACAATTTTAAGGCATGTGGACTTCAACTCCCAGAATTCCACAGCCAGCATTGCTGGCTGTGGAATTCTGGGAGTTGAAGTCCACATGCCTTAAAATTGTCAAGGTTGAGAAACACTGTAATAGAGCCAAGGTTGCCTACCCCTGGCATAGAGTATGAAGGACCATCATAACATCAAGGACAAAAACCAGTTCCAAATATCAGACCCTCACCTCCACGCTCATCTCGGTCCCCGGCGGCAGCGAGGCTCTCCTGTTGCACCAGAGGGCCAAGCCGAGCGGTGACTTCCTCCCGCAGCCGAGACAAGCCCGCCAGCAGGCCCCGCAGCTCTCCCGGAGGATCACACCGAACTCGCCATGCTCGTTTCAAGCCATCGCGGCCGGTCAGCTCCGCCTGCAACTCCATCGCTCGGTTCCCGGCGCCAACGAGGAACCAATCAGTTTTAGCGTATCCCCTCTGACGAAACTGTCAGAGAGGAAAAAAAAACACACACACACATCAGGAAGCGGGGGGGGAGGGAGGTCGCTCTTCCAGTTCTCCTCCCCTAATTCAACGCACCTACGTCACCATTCCCGCTCGCTTTTGTTGTTGATACGATACACGCAGGGGTAGGCAACGTTGGCTCTTTTGTGACGCGTGGACTTCAACTCCCAGAATTCCTCAGCCAGCATGGCTCAGCTTGGAAACCTCTCCCTTTCCCCCCGCAGCAATGCTGGCTCAGGAATTCTGGGAGTTGAAGTCCCCGAGTCATAAAAGAGCCAACGTTGCCATAGTCAGAGGAGGAGCGCACCTAACCGCGCCTTGTCTCCGCCTCCATTCCCCTTTCTGATTGGCTGTCGCCGCTCACGTGCGGAGGGCCCCGTTTGTTCTTCGTCGCGGCTTGTTTTCCGCTTCCGGTGTGCGCGGAAGCGTCACCTGGCGGCGGGTTCTCGTTTTCCCGCCTTTTCCTCCTCCGCCTCGGGCTCTTTACGACGGGGCCGGAGAAGCAGCTACGTCAGGGAGATGGAAAGGGCGACGGCTGCTTCTGGCGCGCCCGAAGAGGACGGCGGCAACGACAGCAGCGCTTCCATTGGCGGCGACGACGGGGACAGGAACGGCGAGGAGCCCATCGTGTCGCTAGCCGAGGTGCTGGCCGAAAACGAGGAGTTGGAGAACGAAGCGCGCGCCGTGCTAGGCGGGAGCGACCACGAGCGCTGCAGTTACTCTCAGGTGAGAGGAGGGCGGGGCTGGCTAAGGCCGGCCTGGTGTGTTTCTCAACCTTGACCATTTTAAGGCATGTGGACTTCAACTCCCAGAATTCCACAGCCAGCAATGCTGGCTGTGGAATTCTGGGAGTTGAAGTCCACATGCCTTAAAATGGTCAAGGTTGAGAAACACTGCAAGTTTAACCTCTTGCCTTCAGTTATGTCGGACTTTTTTCTCCCGTTTTCAGCGCTGTCAGATTTTCGACGACTGTCCACGACAACTCCCTGCATATATTTACCATAGCTTGGTACTGTGAGAACGGGGAAAGTAATGGGGAGAATGGCAAGGTTTGGGTTTGCCATTGGGCCTTCCTGGGGCTGAAAGAGAGTGGCTGGCCCAAGGTCACCCAGGTGGCTTTGTGTCCAAGGTGGAGCTGGAACTCGCTGTCTCCCGGGTTTGTAGCCTGATGTCTTAACCACTACAGCAGTGGTTCTCAACCTTTTTAATGCCGCGACCCCCAACCGGTCGTAAGTCGAGGACTAAACCGGTCGTAAGTCGAGGACTAAACCGGTCGTAAGTTGAGGACTACCCAACCGGTCGTAAGTCGAGGACTTTCCCTGCCCGGGAGCGCCGCGCATGCGTGGTTCCGCCCCCTGCGCTGGCCGAGGCGTAGCTGGCAAGCGGCAGAAACGGAGCAGGCCGACCACCAGCTGGCCCAGCCCAAGGGAGGTAAGGCACCCGCCGGAAAAGGGGAAAAAATGGCGGACAAAAAAAATGGCGGACAGCCTTGCTTGGCGACCCCCATGAAATGGTCGATCGACCCCAAATGGGGTCCCGACCCACAGGTTGAGAACCACTGCACTACAGCAACACGGAGTGGTGGACTACCACTCTCTTATTCTTAGCCAGTAAAGTCAGTGCTTGTTGACAGTGGATGATGGGAGCTGCAGACCATAAGATCTGGGGAGCTCAGGGTAGGAAGTTGGACAAAATTTGGGGGGGCCATGGAAGTGCAACTTGACTAGCGGCGGCTGCTGACAGTACTATAATTTATTTTTGGTTTATTAGCAATGGTGAATATTGTGGTAAATTTAAAAGATAAGTTCACAAGCTATTAGTAATAACAAAACAGCAGTGTAATGAAAAAAGGGGAGATAACCATATATTTGTGTATGTGTGTGCAGGAGCATGCCTTTGAGTCATTGTTGACTCTTGTCAACTATGGTACTAGTCTCTTCAGGTTTTTTGTAATCTTTGGGAAGTAAGATATCATTGCCTCTTTTTTAGGGCTGAGAAGGAATGACTAACCCAAGGTCACCCAGCTGGCTGGTGCTTAAGGCAAGACTAGAGTTCATAGCCTTCCAATTTCTAACCTGGTGCCTTAACCCTACACAGAATTGGCTCTTTAAAGCTGAGATCAGCCAAGAAGATCTTGTCACCTTTTTGATCTGTGGGTTTTGTTTTGTTATAATCAACCAATTATTATTAGCTCCAACAATAACTGAAATATGCTAAATTTCTGTATTTATACTTTTAATTACAGTTTTCAGACTAAAAAAAGTCTGAAAACTGTAATTAAAAGTATAAATACAGAAAATACAAAAAATAAATGGTAATCTTTTTAATTTTTTTCAACAAAAGAAGTTGTTATAAGTTAAAATTACCAATGTATTATGGGCAATATAAACTGTGAGATGGATTCTACCATACAAAAACTTTTTGGTATAAAAAAAGAAAAAAGCCAAATAATAAAGTCACATCTGTCCTAGCAAGCACTCAATATATACAGCACTAATATTTCCTGTGTTTTTACATCAATAGCTTGGTACTGAGAATGGGGAAATTAAATATTAATTGTAAACTATTTATATAATATATAACAAGTGGACAATAGAGTATATTTTAATGATGTGCCTCACAAAGAGTTTACAGGTGATTAAGTATTGCATATTGAGAGTTTTTTTTGCATAGTTTCTTAGCCAGGGGTCTTGAAACTTGGCTCTTTTATGACTTGTGGACTTCAACTCCCAGAATTCCTCAGCTAGGCATGCTGGCTGAGGAAGTCTGGGAATTGAAGTCCACAAGTCATAAAAAGGGCCAAGTTTGAAGACCCCTGTCTTTAGCAGTAGGAGTAGAAGCTCAGTTATCTCTGTCAGATAACCAATTTCCATGATTATCTAACAGAGTATTGTTACTTGCTGTTCATCTACTTGTCTAAATGGAAATTAGTTATAATCACTTATTCCTGGTTGAATTAGGTGTAAGATAAGTATAGTGACCTATGTTTTAGGACATGGTTACTTAAGAATTCTTTTAAACCTCCAGTAAGAATAAAACTATTTAACTTCTAGGATTCAGGTTTGTTGTCTTAAGATTTCTCTGTAAAAGCAAAATCTTAACATGGTACTTTTCCTGACTGTTCTCATTGTTATGCTGTTGTCTTTCCAGGGTGCTGTAAAGAGGCAGGCATTATATGCCTGCAGTACATGTACACCACCAGGTGAAGAACCAGCAGGGATTTGTTTAGCATGCAGCTATGAATGCCATGGCTCTCACAAATTATTTGAATTATATACAAAAAGGTAAGCCAAGAAAAAATAAATTCATCCTTTTTAGGCCAATTTATCAGTCTTCAGCTATTTAAATTAGTCCTCAACTTATAACCATAGCTGGGACTGGAACTTTGATCACTATGGTCATTATGTGAAACGTTAGATGACTGTATGTTTAGCAATGGCAGTTCCAGTAGACTCATTAACACTTGTTAGGCTAGGACAGCACTACTGTTAGGTGAGGATCTCACACTTCTGCCCTGCCACACTTGCCTTCACTTCAGTTCGTCCCACCAGCCAATCTTGCCCCCTCATTCTCTCCCTTTGGGTGCCTCACACTCTTGTTTCATATCCCTGGTGCCAACGTGGTCACCCACTGCCTGCAAATGGCATTTGCTATCTTCCTTCTGTGGGTGGCCAGGTGCTGGGTGAAAGTGCAGCCTGGGATGCACACAGGGAGAGAAGGAAGAGGGGGTGGCAGTTCCCTGGGTGAAGATGGAGGCTGTGCGGGAGATGCTGTTTGGATCAGCGGAAGAAGGAGATATATATGAACGATTCAGCGAATCAAAAGGCAAATAGCACATGATGCCAGTCAACTAAGGAGAAGTGCTTGAGAACTCTCCCCAACTTCGCTGCTTGTTTATCCATATGAGAGCAACCAGTGGATAAGCATTTGAGTTAGGCATTGCAGAGAAAACAATATATTCCCCCAACCAGAATTTCTGCATCAGCCCTGCATCCTATGTTGCATTTTGTATCTTTCCTTGTTCTTGCTTATAAATGTTTAGTCTTTTGTTTGAAAATACTGACTAGGAAAAATGAATTCCTCCCCCCTCCATGCTGTGCTAGGAGCCACAAGGAAGATGGGGCACAAGTAGAGGCTTTTAAGCCTTGATTGAGGCATACAAGAGGAGCCTAGCTGTTTGATGTCCAAGCACCCTCAAAAATACTCACACTGCCACATGTAGTAAGCCTGGGATATCTAAGCAATCCAGTTCCTCTTGTGTGGCATCTGGAGCCAGCTGCCCTTCAGTAGCCCTAGTGGTGGTGGATTGGCCCCTGAGCCACAAGTATTGTCAGCAAAGGCAGCATAGCTTATGCTCTAAGCCAGCATGTATGGATGGGTTCTACTGGAGCAATCTTCAGCACAGATGGCAGGGGAAGTGCTAGTGGCCATGAGATGAGAAAGGCATGGACCTATGTTTTTAAATCTTGATTGGGGGTGGGGTAACTGCTTCCTTGCCTGGTTTGTGGTTCTGGCGCCCATCTGCTTCCACCAGGATTCTGAATGCTTCTGTTCCTAGGCATCATGCAAGAGGCCCCTTGCAACTTAGATATCTTAGTGCCCACAAAGATGCCCACATGCACTGGGTGCTAGGATTCCTAGACAGATGGGCTCTTCTTATATGCTTCAATCAAGGCTTAAAAGCCTGTAGCTGTACCCCATCTTCCTTGCAGGTTCTGCCATACACACAGGGGGATTTCTTCATTTTTCCTTCTAGGTGTTTGTGAAGAAAAGACTGAGCATTTCTAAGAGGAAAGAAGGAAGGATACAAAACACAGAGTGCAGGAATATGTGGTGGAATGCAAGGCACCCAAAAAGGCAGAGATGGAGGGAAAATAGATGGGAGGAGGAGTTGAAGTGCAGTTAGGCCTGAATTTTGATCATGTGACCTTGGGGATATTGCAACAAATGATTGGTGAACAATTGGTTGTTAGTTGAGGATTGCCTATAGAATACAATTTTATTTTTTAATAAGGAAAAATCTAATTTTGTGACACTCTTTATTAGAGATTTATTGGACTCAAGGTATTATTACATCAGTGTATTTTAAAAGTGAAATGCTTGAGTAAATAAATATAATTTTCAAGTTCCTAATTTCCAGCTAGAAAAGAGTGCTACTTCACTACAAAATATAACCACAATATATAGTTCTATGAGTTAAAAAGTTGTTTTGAAAGTTTCATGACGTCTTTAGGATTATAACTGAAATTAGCTGTGTGAATACTTAAGAGACATTTATTTTGGTTTGAAAAAAATGGATGGTAAATACGATTTAATAATTATAATTTAATAATTTTTGAAGATGTTTTCCATCTATTATGAACATAATTTGTAAATGGCTTGCTTTAAGTATATGGAGATCATGACACTAGCATCTTTCAGAATTTGCCCTTTTTTCCCCTAGAAACTTCTGTTGCGATTGTGGAAACAGCAAGTTCAAAAATCTGAAATGCAAACTACATCCTGTAAGTATGAATATTAGGTTTACATTTGAGAGAAAAATGGCGGCCAGACTTATTATTTATCTGAAATTATAAAATCCTAACCCTAATGTAAGAGAAGAAAAGTTGGAGGCTGCAAGAGGAATCCAAGCAGCTGGAATTCCTGCCAAAACAAGAGTATAGAGATGCCCTTTTCACTTCCCAAATAGACTAACAGTGACTATAAATGGGACTGCCCTTGAAGCTATAGTTACTCTGGAATGAAGTAGTTGAGTAATTATGGTCATGCCTTGGTTCATTCATGTAACAGCTACTTCAAGATCTGCACAGGTTATCACTTGATTTCTGGGATTTGGGATCTCCTACTCCCAATAATTTATGCTGGCCCAGTTAAAACAGGAAAAAATGGGTTCCTTCCAGATTCCCTCTTTCAAAAAGTATCATCTATAGGATTCTCAGAGGCAGCCCTTTTTTCTCTCTCTCTCTCTCTCTCTGGAATAGATCCCCTAGAGAATTGCCTTGCCTTAAATTACTGGAAGTCAATAAAACCATAGTTATTTCAACAGGCCTTTTAGAGAGAGTTTCAGAATTCTTCCTATGTAAGAGTGTAAATTATATGGATTTATGAGTCAATTGTATAGGAATAATATATTATGTAATATTTATTGCTTTACTGTTTAAACATGTTTATGTGTGGCAGAATTGTAAGCCACTCAGTCAAATGATAATTAGAGTACCATATCAGCCTAGTAAAATAGTAAACAAAAGCTAATTCAAAAAGTTGCTGTATGTTTTTCTTAATACATACCGATACTACAGTTTGACTTAGGGCCAGTCATCCCTCTCAGCCCAATCCACATCACAGAGTTGTTATTATGGAAAAAATAGGAAGAGGAAGGTATATTGTATACGTTTGCCACCTTGACTCATTTATAAAAATAGTAAAGGCAGGATTGCCTGCTTACTTTAGTTGGAAGACCTAATTTTATTTTATACAATATTTGAATCTGCCTTCATCAAGGACAATTGATAAGGGTTATTTTTTTCTGAGATGATTGAGGTAGGATGCACAGAATAAATAAATTCTTTTTATATAATTTCTTTTTGATTTATCTTCTATTTAAGGTACCTGTCTTACATTTTTTTTAGGAAAAGGCAACAGTGAATCCAGCAAATAAATATAATGATAATTTCTATGGATTATATTGTGTTTGTAAAAGACCTTACCCAGACCCTGATGATGAGGTAAATTGTATTGTAATGATATGTAAAAGATGGAAATACATTTTGTGCACATGCAGTTCATAAGATGTAATAAATTTATTTTTTTATTATTCCTTTTCAAGTGAAAAACAGGAATTTTACATGTACAATTGAAAAATAAAAGAAGACCACTGTAGTTTTATGTTTTGGATATTAGAAATAAGCCATTCTTAGAGAAATTAGATCCGGGAGGCTAGCTTATATTCGTGTTCTGAGGTTGTAATAAAATAAGACAGATATTATCTCTCAGGAATTTTATTTTCATTAAATTAATAACCCAGTGGTTTGAATATCTGTTACGTGTACTTTGTCCCAGGAATATTGAATAAGCTGCATGTGACATAGAAATGTATGTCTTTTTCCCAATCTGTGTAACCATCAAAAGTTATTTTAAAAATTTAGAGCTGTTATAAATACATTTCAAATTAATATAAATTCAAGTATTTACAAGGTTAGAAAGAAACAGTAATTAGACTTTTTTTGTGGTGAGTTGGGTTTGCTCCACATTCACTTTTTCAGTGTTGAAAGTTAAAAGTGGAATTAATATTTTTCAGTGACATGGAACTTGAATGATATAAAATAAGCCCTTTTGAACTGGATGTAGCAGTGTGTTGACAATACAGATAATTATATATGAAAATGCCAACTCAAGATAAACTGATAGTAATATTACATGTTCTCTGTAATTTCAAAGACCCGTTTCTGAAGGGTTGACGTAATAATATATTTTATAATATAGTACTATAATTCTATCTTTAGATTCCAGATGAAATGATCCAGTGCATAGTTTGTGAAGATTGGTTTCATGGAAGGGTAAGCAAATATAATAAAATTGTATCATAAATGAAAAGGATTGGAAATATGTAACTTGTAAAAACCAGATTTTTCTTGCAGTCTTGAATCTTTCAGAGAATAGTTGCATAGATCCTTAAATAAGTGAATTCAGAATTTCAAACCCATACAAGGTGTCCTTAATATCTGCATTAAAATCAATTTGGGCGCTGAAATCTTTTAGTTTGAGAAACATTTAATACTACCCTATGAATTACAGCCTTTTAAAGGAATGATAGCTTTGAAAGTAAAGCTAATATTTCAGCTATATACACTGCATGGATTATAGAAACTTAAGACGAAAAACATGAGCCCTAATTCTGTGATATTAGATCCCTTGTTCTAATTTTAATGAAGAGTCCTACTGTTTGTCAGTAATACATAATTGTTCTGCATTTTCATTTGCTTCTCCTCAGCATCTTGGTGTTGTCCCTCCAGATAGTGGGGATTTTCATGAAATGATATGTCAGTCTTGCATGGATCACTGCCCTTTCTTGTGGGCATATGCCTCGCGGTTAGCAGGTGAGGAAAAATAACAGTTGTTGTTGAGCTAATATTTAATCCTGACCAAGTATCAGAACTCAGTGAAATGGAAGATTTCTGATTAGATGCTTTCATTTAATTGGCATGAGTGAAATATGTATTCATCTTGTTGTATTTTATTAATTTAATGCATTATTTGGGGTTAAATATTGAAGTTTTTATGATATGCAAACTACAATTTTAATACTAAACATGCCTGCATGGAAAAGAATTCTGCCCTGAAAGTTAAATCTGACCAATTAGTCAGCTGCTTACTGGGAGTTGAAATGGGGCAGATACCAGAAACTATTTAACTGGCAAATATTTTGCTCAAACTTCTACTTTATCTTTTGTAATTTTGTTTTGAAAATTTTCAGTTTATGGTTAGGAAGAAACAATCTTGTAAGAGATTGTATTCTCACCTAATGGTATCTGCAGTCATGTGAAAAAGAAAATACACTCTCTGAGTTCAGAACATAAAAAAATATCTGGTGCTTAGCCGTTCTCAAAAGTAGGTAAATACAGCCTCAAAGGAACAACAATACATGACATATTATACCATGTCATCATTTATTTTACAAAAAGAAAGCCAAAATGGAGAAGCCATGTATAAAAAAAGTATGGCTTATGAGGAATAGCTTGTAGAACCATCTGTAGCAGCAATAACCTGAAATAATTGCTTTCTGTATATGTACTTTCTTTTTCACATGACTGTATGTGAGTACATTTCTTACTTGAGCAACTTTTGCGTAATTGAGGATTGGATTGTTGGAAGAAAATAAAGATAAGCATTTGGGCTTCTCTAGTGTGGTCCAGCAGATAGTCCTTAATCTTTATAATTCAGCAAAATATATATTACTGAAGAAATATGTTTTCTAAGGCCCTGTGATATTAGATCACACCTGTGACAGGTTTAGTACTTTCTGATGGTTCTGAATATAGATACCTAGTACCATGTTGTAAAATATTAGGTACAGGCTTGTTAAATGACACATTTAAATTTTTATTCAAAAATTACATTTCAAGTTAATTAGCTGTGTTTTGACAATTTTTATGTCATTAGAATATTGCAAGAGAAAGACTTGAAAACTTAACTTAAATATTATTACTGCATAAAACATGAGAAGGTGAAGAGGTAAGGTAGTTATCCAATATAATAGTTTAGTTATATGTCATTCTGGGGGAAATTGTATTGAGAAATTGGACACTATTGTTAAAATAAAAGCATGAAAATAATCAGATATAATTCAAAGAAGCACCTGTTTCATTATTTTTCAGAATGTCAATGATGATACAGGTTCTTGAGGACATAATGGAATATAAATTTTTATATAACTAAGTTTGTCCTGCCACTATGACATATTTTTCTTATTTGTAACTTTCACAGTCAGCCATTTTTTTTACAAAAGCATTGGAATTTTGGGCATTTTCTCCATTAGGGCATAAAATATAGCAGTACTTAAAAGTTTGTGAACTCTTTTTAATTTTTAATATTCCTGCATAAATATAACCAATATAATATTGATAATGGATTGTCTTGCACAAGTCCTAAAGCTAGATAAAGAGGAGCCAATTAAACAAGTTCTTGTTCATTGATTTATTGAGAAAAATGATCAAAAACTATATATTGGATATTCAAACATTTGAATATACAATACTGAAAATTCAAAAGTTTTTGCAAACTTTTAAACATCACTGTATAAGATCAGTAACCTACACTTCATTAAAAGATGTGGATTATTATTTGTAATTGCAATACTTTCATTAAAATGTCTTTTTGGAGATAGAATATAAATAAATGATCATGTTATCATGTGACATTGTTTCCTTTTTAGCAATGTTAGTTGTATTGTTTACATTGATATTTAATTATGCAAAGATATTTTAGCTAATTGAGGTAGAAATAGCACTTACTATATTTATTCTAATAGGTCTAGGTGTCTATTTCTTGTAGTTCCAACTGTGACCAAAGTTATTGCTGCAGCTGATAATGGAACTGTGCTGAATGTTGAAGAAACTGAAGTAATCAAAAATGAAAACAGTGTAGATCAAATGAAGACTGAAGATAAAACAATACAAATTAATGAACCATCTACCAGTTCTGGCAATGAATGTTCAGTGGTAAGTCCTGTATTTCTTGTTTTGCATCATATTATTAAAAGCTGTAATTCTGAGCTCATGATATTCCTGGCTGCATCATTGCCATGATATGTATTAAGTAGAGTCATGTAGCCTAATCTAATTTATGAGAGTTTGGTGTATTAGTTAAGGCACGGGAGTAAGATCTAATCCTGCCTTGGGCATAAAGCCAGCTGAGTGATCTTGGGTCAATCTCTGAGCCCTAGGAAGCAGGCAGTGGCAAATGACTGCTGAAAATCTTGCCAAGGAAACTGCAAGGACTAGTTCAATCAGTCACCAGGAGGCAAGACTGACTTGAAGGCACCACCACCCCTACAAAATCTAATTTACAGAAATATCTAATATTGCCTGCAAGTGGATAGAACTAGCATTTGGGTTCATAAATCCCACCCCATACATTATCTGTCTTTTTTTGTTTTCATGCATTTAACTTAAAACTATGAGAAGGTTTCTGTTAAGCATAGTCAGTTGAATACATTTACCAAACTCTTCTGATGCGGAATATGCCTTTCTGAAATTAGCTATATCAACGTGCAAGTGAAGAACTGCATAATATTATACTATAAACAATAAATCTGGGGTGCTAAACAGACTGGAATGAGCAAAGGATAAGGAAATTAAATAACACTGGTAACTTTTATTTTACTGCAGCCAGTTAAGGAAATATTGTTGTGCAAGCTGCAAGAACTTCAAGCCAAGAAGAATCTGAAACAAAATACAGCCACCTTCTGGCCACACAACTGGCGAAGCAAATTATGCACCTGCAAAGCATGTGTGGTATGCATTTTTAAATTGCTGTATCTATATGAGCTGTAGAAGAATATATAGTTCTTTTCTGAAACAATTGCCTGGGAAATGAGTGTATGATCTGTGCTGATCTGGTTGAATTTATTCTTTTTTCAACACCTAAATGGGACTGCTTTTTCATATTTTTTTCCAGGGGGGCTGTTTCTGCTTGAGGAGGAGAGGCTAGTATATGTTTATAATTTTATGTCTACCATTGTAAAAATATTTTTTAAATGCCACCTTTCTTATTTTTATAAATAACTCAAAGTGGCAAACATATATAATGATCTTTCCTCCTCCTATTTTCCCCACAAGAACAACCTTGTGAGATGGACTGGGCTGAGAGAGAGTGACTGTTCCAAGTCACCCAGCTGACTTTCATGCCTAAGGAGGAACTAGAATTCACCATCTCCTGGTTTCTAGGTCAGCACCTGAACACTAGACCCAGCTGGTTCTCAGTTCATCTTAAATTCATTGTCTTCCTTTTTGGAAGATAAAAAAAACAAACTTGGCAGTAAAAACTGAAACCTTGTAAAAGATTTCACACTTGGTAGAAATATGTCTTTAAAATATAGTACCTTAGAAAAATATGAGTGTTTATGTTTTGTTCTGTCATTTGAAAATCTACATAACCAATCACTTTTAGAGATTTGTCTCATGTAAAATTTTATAAAAAGGTGGGGGGAAAGAAGTATTGTGTGTAGGGATTTTTGACTTTGCTGTTAGAATTTATACATTTATTGTAGAGCCACAGTTGTTTGTTTCTCCATTCATAAGCTTGCTAGAGTTGTTTTGAATTGCTTAGGTTCCTTTGTCACAAAGCTATTTTTCCCCCATCTCACTTCATTTTGCACTATTTTTAAAGCTATTTATATGCTCTCATATGTGCTATTGCTACTTTTTTAAAAAAATGAATTTGAAAAAATGAATTTGTTTCTATTTTGGATTCATGAAATATTTTATAGATTAACATGTACAGTGAGAATAATTTCTTATTCTTCAGAAAATGTATTCTGATATGGAAGTCCCATTCCTAACAGATGAATGTGATACTGTCTTGGCTTATGAAAATAAAGGGACAAATGACCAAGAAGCAGATAGAAGAGATCCTCTAATGGATACGCTTAACAGTATGAACAGAGTACAGCAGGTAGAGCTCATCTGTGGTAAGTAATTAAAATAAATGAGAAATAGTCTGGATAGGATTTCACTTTTTGTAGGAAAATAGAATTGGGAAAGAGGTTGATGCTCTAAAACATTTTTCAGTTGATGCTCTAAAACATTTTTGTTAGTGATAGTGGTGAATATCTGTAGCTTGGGTATAGGATGAGGGTGGAGGTTTGTTCTCTGACCTTGTGGTTGGTTTCCGAATGTTTTGTTACCAGGCTAATAATATCTTCAGCAGAATTTAGGGAATGTCATAGTTGATGTTCTTTTGTTTATAAGGGCTTTGTGTGATCAGTAGGTCTTGTGGTGGGAGGGTCACGTCAGGTGAGGATCTTGTGATGGGTCAGGTGTGGGTCATTTCAAGTGAGGGTTTTGTGAACCAGAATCCATGAACATTGGCTGGTAGTCAATTGCCACAATCCCCAATCCCTAATTGCTACCCACACTGACACCGAGCAGTATCAATTAGATTGGAGCAATACAAGAATCATTGGCCATGTTACCACCCGCCATGCGTGCCAGTTTATCGAAGCCTGGCACTCTACAAGGAATTTCATCGACAAACCTACAACCAACCTATGAATCCCTGAGAATTCAAATCAACCGTACAGCTAACCAGCAACATCACTGACCTTCAACCAACTCATGCAACCCCCATCACCAGCTCTTCACCTGCCAATGACCCTCACCTGAAGTGCCTCCCCATCACCTCACCTGACATGACCCACATCTGACCCCTCACAAGATCCATCACAAAACACTCACCTGACATGATCCACACCTGACCCATCACAAGATCCTCACTTGATGTGACCCTCCCATCACAAGATCTACTGACCGCACAAAGGCCTTATAAGCAGAAGAACACCACTCTGACATTCCATAAGTTCCGCTGAAGCTGTTACCCAGCCTGGTAACGAAACATTCGAAAACCAACCCACAAGCTCAGAGAATGAATCTCCAGCCACATTTTTGTTAATTTGGAGGCTGCAAAAAAATCAGCCCACAAAAATCTAATACAATATTGTTTATGGTAGTTGACTAAGAATATTGGCTTAGGACTGTTGAGTCAGAGTAAGAATTTATAAGATTGTCCCTGTAGTATACTGTCAGCAGCAATCTATCAGAAATGCTTAAATTAGATAAGCTTAAGTGTCCTTCAGCAATAAGGAGTATGGATAATTTTTTATTTATAAATAATAAATACCCCCACAAAAGTACAGAGAAGTAGAGGGGCAGTATAATTGTAGTATAACTAAAGCAGTACTTTTGGGGGGGGGCGCATCTTTAAAGCTGATTGACAAGCCACAAAGGAGAAAAAAAAACCTCTATAAATACGCAGCTACAATAAAATCATTTTTATTTGGTTCAGAGTACAATGATTTGAAAACAGAATTGACAGACTATTTGAGAAGATTTGCAGATGAAGGAACAGTAAGTATACAATATCATTTAATACTATTATTAAAATATTCTTTGAATGGTTTAGAAATATAACCGTTGTTATCTGTGACACTTTGACAAACTGCATATATGGATCTCCAGCTGTATAAGATAAGTGAGACCGTTAGGGCCCTTTTCATATTTGAGAAATAAATATTAATTTGAGAAATAAATATTAATTTGGATTAATAATAATCACCTGGAACATGCAAGTCTTAAGCGCTTTAGATAAACTGTATTTCCAGTGCTTTTCCCTCTTTTCCCCCTTAAGAGCCAAGCAGGAATGTACTACCAATATCTAGAACAGGGGTAGTCAACCTTGGCTCTTTTATGACTCGTGGATTTCAACTCCCAGAATTCCTGAGCCAGCTATGCTGGCTCAGGAATTCTGGGAGTTGAAGTCCACGAGTCATAAAAGAGCCAAGGTTGACTACCCCTGATCTAGAACATGGATAAAATGTATCCCAAGCTAGGCAAAAAGATTAGATTTTCAACTCAATACACTTCAATAAACAATTCTATAGGGAAGAGTAAGAAATGGTCAGTTACTAAATAAAATAACACATAAACGTTGTTTTTATTACTTGAAGTCTATCAAACATATTTAGGCATTCTTACAGGGTGATTCCATAATTCCACAGCATTTTCTGGTCTTCACTCTCTGCTAACTGCTTGAAGCCAAAGCAGGATCATTGAGCAAATGTTCCAAGACCTTGGAGTAGCTTCCAAAGAGGGAAATTTAAGCTGGCCAATCAGTACTTTGGATGACCTTTTGCCAAACTACCCAGTTTTAGAAATATCTATAATTCTGTTTGGTATAATGCTGTTACTAATCAGTATCAGATTCATGGTAGTTTGGTCTGAATATGCCTAGCTGTATCTTTTGTTAGAGCAGTGGTCTGAAAATGGGGAAGAGAAGCTTGAACTTCTCTCAATTAGCCATGGATGATTATGAAAGTATACAGATTTAAATCTAAAATCAGAAGACTTATTTGCAAATTAGAAACAAATGTAACAGACTTTGTAGCAATTAAGTACTATTTGATATGTAAACTTATGATTATAGAAGATATTCAAAATTTGTTATTTGAGTTGCTAGTTCTGTGTTCTTGAGGATAGCAGAATTGGAACATTGAGGCTTACTGTTTTTAAATCTAGCAGTTGAAATGGAGAGACCTGCTGTTTGTCTTTTTGATAAAATACCTCAAGTATCTGGGGTGCAGAAGTCTTGGAACTCCAAGAAAGGGAATGGTGGAAATATAAATAGTAAAAAGGTATCCATTCTCATTAGTTTAGTTTGCTGCTTAGTTTTCTCTTCCTGCTTCTGTTGTAGTGGATTTGGAAATAAATTTGAAAGTTAATATAATTGAAATGACTATATATAAAAGGTAGTAAGGTGATTTTAAGTATATTTCACCAACAGAATTTTGAATAAAGTTGAATCAACCAACATTGATAAATTAAAATCTGAAGGATGGTTAGAAAAAATTCTGTATCCTGTTCTAAGTGACATAGTAGAATTGAGTTTTTAATGATTCAAGTTCAAAAATTCTATATTGTAGATCCTACTGAAGGTATTTGACTAAACTATAGCCACTTTAAATATCACATAATGCACTGGAAGTTTGACAAGTTTCCCTGTCCCTATGATTCTTTTAAAACTTTTAAATTTTGATATTTGATAAATTTTGAACATTTCTTATTTTGGTCAGATTGGTGCATTTGACTTTGTATTCTTAAACATCTAAATATAACTATTCAAACATCAGTGAAATGTTTTATAGTTTAACATTCATACTACTGTCCTGTTTTATTTATTTATTTTTTGTTAACAGGTTGTTAAACGAGAGGACATTCAGCAATTTTTTGAAGAATTTCAATCTCGAAAGAGGAGGAGAGTAGATCAGATGCAGTACTACTGTAGCTAGACTAGATTGGAAGTCTTAAAAGACTACATATACAGCTGTCTGCTAAATTCTGGGTTTTCCCTCCCAATTTAAATCTAACTTCTTGTTCATCTTGATTTGTCTCCTAGAAGGCAGCGTTTATTATTTGTAGCCACATGCATACATCAATTCCTAGTAACTATACTGAGAAGTGAAATGATCATGGATTCACAGAATGTCACTTGTGTCAAAGAAAGGCTGGTTAGTTTTCAGAAGATACTTATTTAGAAACTATAGGTGACAACAATATTTTTATGACTTAAAGGAAAAATCTAGATAAAAGGTCTTAATGGATTAGCATTCAGGGTCAAGGTACTCCTTTCTCAAAGACTTATTTGAATGCAAGATTTCATATCTGCTTGGTTTTAGGGCATTCATTATGATATATTCTGCTAGCTGTTGCTATTAAAAAGCTAATTTGGATCATTTATGGCTTGCTGAAATAGTTGAAGTACAACTTTTAGCTATAATTAGACATTCATGACTGCTGAATGAATATGACTGAGGCCAGAGTGTGTATTATAAACAGTGGTTAACTGGTAGGCAATGATAGTGCAGAGGCTTAGTGATATTATCACCAATATGTTTTGACTGACTGCCAGCACAGAATGTGTAAATTGCTTTTTGGTAGGTCACAATTATCAGGTTATCTATTGACTTTTTAAGAATGAAAGGAGTATCTGAAACTGACATAAGGTACTTGTAAATGTTTAGGAAGAGCAGCCTACAAAGCCATTTACCACATTTTAAAATATGGCCGTGATCTTTTGTAATTATGTCAGAGAATACAATCCCTTAATACTGCAAAGAATGTTTAAAACATCATTTAAGTGCATCTATTTTCTCTTGGTTAAATTTATCACCTAACTACTAGAAATTCACAGCAATCACATGCTGTATACCAATACCTCAATAAAATGGTATTTTAATTTTTAAGTTAGTGAGTGTTGTAATAGCAAAGCTAGTTCTAAACATTTAAACTTGAAAGCACATTATGCATTTGCTCATCTAGTAGGATATTTCAATCCAATTCCTATCATCCCAGAAAGCTTTGGCTGTTCATTGGTTATGATTTTTTTCATTATATTTTAAATTAAGAGTCACTGCCATAGCCATAAGATAGCCTCTTGAGTTCAGGGTGGTTTTATATTGCTGGTATGAAAAATAAGAAACATGATTTTCATGAATGCTACTGTACATGCCAGATTAGAATTAATAAGCAATTGTCTTACATAATTACAGAGAATTTTTTAAGAGTGAGTGACCCAGTATGGTAAGTATGCATTGAAGGAGTGAGTGCTAGCAGACAGAATGTTTCAATTTCAGCAGTCTTTGTTGACATAAGGAGAGCCCTCCAAGTATTGCCAAGCTGCAATTTACTGCATTTTTTATTCCTGACAAACATTATAGGACAGAAGGAAATAAAAATCTATCCTTGCTGGAGAGCAATACCAAACAGAAATTACCCCAATAAACTTGAATTATGACTGATTTCGGATATTAAAGTGCCAAATGATTATCTTTTCTATTCTATCCAGTAAGAAATCTAAAAATCCACACATACAGTAAATCAACCATTAGATCTAAGCAAACTGTAATATAATTCAACTAAATTGATCAATTACAGATTTGTTGTAACCGTTTGATGTTACAAATAGGTAATCACTTTTCTACAGAATAGATAACCTGCACCAGGACATACAAAATTTTTTCATGCACAAATATGTCTTTTCTCTTAGCTGTCTCAAAAGATTTATCATTACAGGTTCTTTCCTACCTTTGTATTTGGACACTCCTTATGTTACTGTTTTGATGATAAGCTTTGAGTAGAATGCAGTAACATGGGGAATATTTGAGTCATCTCAAAGGAAAGCAGTGCAGGTTGGAGTGCCTACCATGACATACTTTGCAATATTTACTACTGTCTGCGAGACTGTTTAAATCCTGGATATGCTAATTTGTTATGTCATCCTTTCTTGAGGTGAAGTATAACTAGTAATGGCATAATAGTAGGATCATTTGTGGAAAGGAAAATGCTTTGTTCCAGACCAGGAACAAACCATTACATTCCATTAGTTCTGCCAAGCCTTTGAGATCAGCTGCAGTTGACCAGGGACAAAAGACTGAATAATGTATGAGTTTGGCTAAAACAAAATTCAAATATACAGAATGATTCTACAAGGCAAGTAGGGTAAGGCTGGTGTGCATCATTTCCAGCAGTTCCCAGTATGGCATATCCCACCTACTTCTCCAAATCTTCCCAGTGCTTTCCCTTCAATTACTGCTGCCAATATCCTTAGCTCTTTTTCCCCCGCCCTGTTATCACTTCATCCCAGAACAAAGCCATCCATTTTATTTCATATATGGGCCAAAGCGTGCTTCAGTTTGGATATGGATTACTTGAAAAAAATTATGCATCTATATATTTATATTACTGCAATCCTGTAAGTGGCTTGACTTAATGACTGGCCAGAAATCAAGCGAGCTCCATAATAAAACACTTGAACAGGATAAAGAATACATTTCATTAAGGCAGCTTTGATAGACCATGATCCTTAAGGCAATTCAATTAGTTTGAATATTGTAAAGTCACTGAAAGGCAGAGTAGCCATTAATTGCTGGAATGTAGAATGGTTAGCTTCACGTCATGCAGTAAGTAATATAGTCAACACTTCCAACGCAGATGACTCATAAAGAGAAATCCCCTTTAATCATCTTGCTTAAAAGTGAAATGAATGGTCTCAGGCTAGAAAACAAATCTGTAAGCCAGAGTATAGAATTAGAACCAAGAAAAAATACGGGGCACTGAGTAAGCTTTCTTCAGAACTCAACCTGAAAGTTAAATGACTAGTGCAAAAGATGAAAAGTGGACTTAAAAAGAAAAATCCTAAAATTTCAGATGAGAGTTTTATGACTATACTGAAAAGCTTAGATTGTTTCTTTATCTATATTCTGTGGCAGACCTACCTGCATAACCTTCCGAATTATTTCAGAACACATGCTGGGATCTTCATCATGGTGTGCTTTTTCTTTTCCTTGCTTCTACCTTTAATGTTCATTATATGGCACTTGAATTGTTTCAAATAAAGATATTGCCTACTGTAATTTCAGAGTTTTATTGGTACTTTTAAAGCATGCAGGTCATGAATATTATCGCGATATGTTTGGCCCATTCAAATTAAGATCTGTTCATACTCTCAAAAAGTTTCGAAAACTTAGTTTCACAGAAGCAGAACTTTGTAATGAAAAGTATGTTACACTTGCATTTTTCTAGACAAGCCATTTATTTGAAATACCAACTATATGTAGGATAAAGTCAGTGTTAACATGCTTCTCAGCAGCAGTAGAAAAATAGGTGAAAACCTTTTTACAATTATAATGGTACTCAAAAGAGAAATGTATTGTTTTACAATGCATCACACAAGACTAGAATTCAATTCTAGGCGGTACCTAAATAAAAATTCTATTTTTCTTAAAAATAATATGTACAATTGAAGCGTAAACAAATTTTTACAAAGTACTGGTTATGCAGGTTGTAGAAAAAACACTTGCATAGGACATGAAGTGGGTTTAAGAAAATTTCTGAGCCTTTAGCATTGAAGGCACTTTTTATACCAGTAACAGCACAAGAATTTTATCATGGACACTTAACATCTTTCAGAAATACATACAAGTATAGAAACATCAGTTTTAATCCTTCAGCTTTCCCCAACATTCCACAAATATCCATCCACCATATAAACAAACACACAGTCATTGGAAGTAACTAGAGTAAAAGTGGTATCTCCGGACCTTTTCAAAATAACTTACACAACAGATGGAAATGGTTTATATTTCAAGGTAAAAAAAAAGTATTGAAAGAGAAGATATTAGCCCTTTTCCATTCCTTAACAGGCAGAAAAAGACTGAAGACAAGCTTAAATACAAGATATACTAAATGGCTAGCAGGGCAATTTTACTTTAAGCTTGCAGGACTACAAGAAGTAACTTTGTAGTATTGCAAAAAATAATAATTGTAAACACATTGGGTGGATGTCAAAATGCCTTGTGTGGCACTTCCCTCTACAATAGCAGCCCTTTGTCTTCTGAAAAATGCAGCTGACCACATACTGGTAAAGCAGCATCAGCTCCTTGTGCCTATGAAAGATTTAAACATTCTCAAATATTGTACATGCATGGAAATGGATCCCAGCTGCAGTTTAAAACCCCCTTTTCCTTTGCAGGATGCATTCAAAACAACATTAGCAATTATCTGAAGCTATTTTATGTTAGTTCAGCTACAATCTCTGCCATACATATGTGATTACAGAATACTTGGGACTTCTAACAAATTTATCTATTTATTAAATTTATTTACCACCCATCTCATATCAAAATGACTCTGGATGGATTTATTCCAATATTAATATTATTCCAAAAATTAAGATTTTTTTTAAAAATGTACTGTGCTTTGAAAAATGATACATAATCATTTATTACAGTAACATGGAAGAGCTGAGATTTTGTTGATTATGCCTCCTGCATTTTGAAGACAAGAGCTTTAAATACATCTCATGGTAAATAACCTGTTTACCAGAATGTAAAAGTAATTTCAATTATGACAATTTCTTTTACTAATTTGTTATTAGGCAAAATTGGGGAGGGGAAACTATTACATTCTTGTGATTTATTGGGTCACATATTTAAAAAAAATGTTGTTTGCTTTTTGCAAACACAGAATAAAATCAAGATGACTTTAAAAAAGGGATGGGTAGGTAGGATGAAATTCCTTATGCAAAGTCAGAAGAGTTACCTGGAGGACCACAGATAATTTTACTGAGATGTAATTAAAACACACTAGTAATTAACAAAGCTCAAATGCTGATGGGGATTAATATTCCATTTATATGTGGCCCAGAGGAAAAGGCAATAAGCTAGAATTCTGCAGCCTCTCCAAATTCTTTAGGTCTTCTGCTCAAATGGGAATATTTAGGCTTAGGTTATTAAAGTAGTACAACAGTCCTTAGGTCTGCTACAGAATTACCTTTATCTTAAACATTTCTTACAAATGATAGCTTACTTCATTTATGGAGTGTATGTTTTTATGCTTCTCATAAGCTATTCCACAGTAAAAGAAAAAGTAAACTGAGTCTAAATGAATTATCTGAATCAATTCAATAGCTACTCTTGAGACTGAAAATTTATGCCTCGAGTTTCTCATGCATACATGAGGACCCAGATTGTTGGGGACAATATGTTGACTCTGTAAACCACTTAGGGCTGTAAAGCACTGTGAAGCGGTATATAAGTCTAAGTGCTATTGCTATTGCTATATTCTATCACATTTTACTAGTAAATTGGCTTGGTGTAGAGTTGGAAAAAAAGCTACTTGAAATAGAATGTTAACATCTAAAATAGACTGTTCTATAGTTTGTTTTGGGAGTGTACCCAAATCCAGGAAATTATCAAAACAGCCCTATCCATGATCTCTACAAGACAAAGCCAATATACGTAGAAAGATTGAATTTCATTTTTGAAAAAAGAAAGATTTTCAGAAATCATAACAGATTTGGTGTGTGTGTGTGTGTGTGTGTGTGTGTGTGTGTGTGTGTGTGAGAGAGAGAGAGAGAGAGAGAGAGAGAGAGAGAGAGAGAGAGAGAGAGAGAGAGTGCTGCTACTGGAGATGACAAAATAATGGATTCTTATTTTTATCAGTGCCCAAATTGAAGCAAAGCATCATTCTTGAAACAAGTTTGACAGAAAACATGTTTAAATTCCAGATTATTAACAAGATGCTTGACAAGTGACAATAAATGATTATTTTATCCTCAGAGTGCTGTCTTATTACTTAACTTTTCACAGAATGTATTTTTTTTCAGTTCACAAAGAGGTAACACAATGCTTGAAATTAATGTAATGTAAACTATCTGGACGGGGTATTCATTCTCATTCCTCTTTAACAATGTTTCCCCTTAAAGGGTCAAGACTGGGAACTAAAAGATTAGTGGAGACTTTTAAAAAGGAGCTCAGAAAAAAATTAAAAACACTTAAACAAAATGTACATTTCAACAGTCTCAAGCACAGTATTTAAAAATAGATTTAAGGTTAGCTAACAATGTTAAAAAAGATTCAATGTTGCTAAGGTTCAAGTGATGGAAGAGCTGTATTTTAGAATCAACCACCATATCAAGTCAAGCCTTTGCTAGGTATTACCACACAGTGGTACTGAAATTTTTCCAGTCCATGCAAAAGAAATACGTGGCAAGTACCTGAAACAACGGACTGCTGAAATGGCCATTCTTAGTGGCAATAATCTATCAGCCCAGCATCTCCTCTTCGTATTCGTAAAACCCCAAAGAACCTTTTTTTCAATACGTTTTAACCAACTTCAACAAAGTCCAAACTATTCAAGAGAGGAATGAAGAAATTAAGTGCTAAACTGTTTATAGCTCATTAAGTTGTAGACATTACTCTTCAATAAGCTTTCTGTCCACAAAACGAAGTATATATAACGTTGCTAAAACTGCAGCCCTTGATTTCTTCAGAGGCAGAAAAAAGGCAGTAAGCATTCCTCTTGACTTCTCCACTGAGGAGGGCTGTTCTACCAAAATGCAGCATTAACACCCATGTCAAATGTTAAAACAATTGTTTTCTCGCCTTCTTATACTTACCCTCTATGTGTCTTTCTAAAATGAAGAATCAGAAAAGCACGTCTACAGAACTGTCACAAATTTGAAGCACTAGTTGCACTGTCACCAAGGGGCTTAGAAAGTGTTTCTTCAAAGTGTTCATGTTCCAAAAGGAAAAGGAAATATTTTCAGAAATTGTAAGGGACTTGTACTCCTCACTTTTAAAGAAAATCCTGGCCACAGATATTACTGAGCACTTGCTACATCAACAGCCTGAGACTTGGTAAACAGAGCTTACACATTAGACTGGATTTCTTGTATTAGTGGTAAAGCAGAAAGGTTACAAACCTAACCAGAGCAGTTTTGTAAGTGTGCTGTTCTTTGGAATTCCTATTGTCATTAAAAAATAAAGACAGATATTTTCATCATCTTGTAAGAAAATACATCTTAAGTATGCAAGTATGCAGCCTAATGCACACTGAATACTGGGAAATGATTTCTTTAAAAAAAAAAGACACTCAAAATAGTATGAACATACAGTCCTATAAAATATGACAGTAGAAGTTTAACATACCAATATAAAAATTAATAAAATTAATGTACAGGTGCAAAAAGGCTACCTTTTATTTTCCTCTTTTAAAGGTGCCAGTTAAAATATATTTTTGAGAATTTTAGCAAACTCTGTTGAAAACATAAACCCTGAAGCAGCATTCCAAATAAACTGGGAGCATGCCATTTCTTAATGAAGCCATGTATATACAAAAATAATAATTAAAAAAATGATATAGCGGCTGGCATTGGGAGAAAAAAAAACTGGCCGGAGAAAATCTCAGGCCAGGGATTTCAAAGACTGATCTTTCACAAGTCTTAGGCACGGAGAAGAAGTGGAGGTGGAGGGTTTTCAGAGGGCAGATTTTTTGTATAGGAAGTCGGGAGACTTTCTTCCTCTACTCACAACCTCTTCTCTTTCCAGATCTGCATTTCTCTGGACTTCACTTTCCAGGGGCTCCGTGTTGGCCAATCTCCTGCTAGATGGTTCGTTATGGATTTCTTCCCTGTACAAAGGCAGGGAAGGTCTACTAGAGGTTAGGCCGTACGTTAAATCCGTTTCCATTTTTGTTCGTCCCCTTGCGTGAATGGATATATTCCCAGGGTTCTCCTGGGCAGCCAAAGCCAAGTCCAGCCGCTGGGGAGGTTGTTCTAAGACATTGAGGTGTATCGTTTCATTTTTTTGTCTGTGTGAATGCCCTTCTTGAGAAAGTGCATAGTCTCTCCTAGAATCTTCTAGTTTTTTAGGAGAGATGTGGTTAGGTAACTGAGTGGTTTTTAAGCCGTTGGGTGATGCTTTATTGTGGCTATATAAATCTGGGCCAAAATAGATACCTTGGGAAGGTAAAGGGATGTGCCTGGCAAGGGAAGGAGTAGAAGGCCTGCATGCAGCATTTGAGAAATCGTAGAAATCGGGATATTCCTGCTGATTCTCTCTAGGGTCCAATTTTTGCTCAGCTGAATGTTTCTTCCGTGAACTATGTATGTGCCTTGTCTGAATGCATGAAATGTGCTGAGGTGGTCCTGGTGTAACTTCCGGAACAGGCTCCGTGTCCACTGTAAGCTCTGGCAGCCTCCTGTCCTTCAGAGACATAGTTGACACACCCATTGCAATATCCGGCATTAGCTCATTGAGAACAGGCTGATGAATACCCTGAAAAAGAGAAAATCAATTTCAACTTGTGCTGTCATCATCTAGCTGTGCCAGGACTACATTGCCCTACAAAAATCCAGCATTACACAGTTTAAAGTCTGACATCCAACTTGCCCTGTTTTATATATCATATTGTATTTCCTTTTCCAAAGCTAATAAGAAATAATTATTCATAAACTATATAGTATTTTATATTAATGTTTATATAAGCAGTTAGCTTTTGAAATCAAAGGCTCTGATTTGAGCACAAAGAATTGAGGCTTTCTAAGCAAACTAGTTAAAAAGTCACACATGACAACAAACATAGTCATATTAATGCAGAAAAGTGAAATAGCCCAACATCTTACCAAAAGCAGAACTTTTGTATAGTCCTATGTGCAGGCCTGTCAATTTTGTGTGTTTCCTGTAGAGATGCATTTGGATTGCTTATTAATGGGAAGCTCCTACTGAATTCATTAATTCAATAGGCAGATTCTGAGAAGTAATAACTGTACATGGAATGCTTTAATTATGATTTGTTGATAATACAGGTAACACTGGTCAGCAACAAATTTATCACAGAGATTGGAATAGGTGTTCTAAGCAGGCTTTTTAAAAAATGAAATCAGACTTTTTTTTATCAGTTATTTTTGCTTGTGACTCTATCTTTATTATTATTCATGTTCAAATAATGACATTATGCTAGTATATTTTAACTATCGTTAACAATTATTTGTAACCCAATTATTACAAGTATTAGTAGATAAATAGGTACTACTTTGGTTGGAAGGTAACAGTGCTCTGTGATATCATGCTGGTCATGGAAATGTCTTCGGACAGCGATGACTCAATGGCCTTGAAACGGAGAGGAGCACTGCCCCCGAGAGTTGGCAAGGACTAGCGGAGTAAAATCCACAGGGACTCCTGTACCTGTACCTGTTGTTTTTTTTTACTTTTTATTACAATTATTGAACAAAATCTATTAGGATTGCTTTTCTGTTCAGGAGTTTGGATTAAAAGACCAAGATCCCTTACAATCCTATGATTCTATGACACTCTGATAGCACTTTTTTATTTAAAAGTAAATCCATTGTAAGTAATTTAAACAATCTTGAATACACATATATATATAAATCTCAAACAACTCAGTGCTATTTATGACTTGAACAAATCTTTAGAACAATCTATATCAAGCATGACTTAAATTTCAGAAAGGAGTAACAGGTGATTTCAAATGGGAAAAATCTGAATAGTTACGCCTGAAAATAAAGCCCACAAATCAAAGCTCTTGTAAATTCAAGTGGTCTTATAAATTCTAAACATATAAATAACTGCAAATAATTTCCTTCTTAAAACAGTTGATCAGTAGTTAGATTTTTAGTAAGATATCCTAAACATTCAAGCTTTAGTTTGTTCAGCTTCATTCAGTGAGATATTTTTTTCACTACTTGGACTTAGCACTAGGAATGATCTAAATATGAGCAGAGCTTCCTACAGGATCATTATGAGAAGTTTGTTAATAATGAAAAGAAAACACATTTGACTATTCCCCTTACAGCAGAAGAACTGTTAACTAAGTAGAATGTATTTCTAGTATAATTTACATTGTGACTTTTCACGAAACGTTACTAAATTCATGATTTTTATGCATAAGTCCTTAAAAGCCAGCTTTTATTATTTATAGACTATGCTCTGTAAGAGGAACCATGCCATTTTATATATTTATAACATAAGATTAAAATATATTTAATATATTATATATTAATGTTTTAACACATACCCATGTGCATGTGTGTGTTTGTATGTGTTATATTATTATGCATTATATAGATTATATTACAACATATACCATATATTACCTTTTTAGCTTCAATACTGTAAACCTAAACTTTAATTCTGTTTTTAACTGTTCTTATTTAGGCTTTTATATCTTGTGACATGTTTTTATTGTAAGCTACCCGGAGTCACTTAAGTGAAATGGGCAGAATGAATATGTGACAAATAAAATAAATAAATAAATAAATATTTATACGTTGAATGGCTACCTTATAAAGTTTTTTCATCAGCTGTTGGCTGAAAGTGGTTAATAGGATTTGGTTTGTTTTTTTTTAAGTATACACTTTCTTCATTTCTTTGATAAAAACACAGAAGAACCAAAATTAGTATCTTATGCATAAACTAACTTAAAAGCAAAAGTGTAAGAGAAAACTCTTCACAGAAAATTTGGATGCAATCTATAGGAAAGGATTTAATGTGAGTAAAATTCCCAGCTACTACATTCACTTATTCTGGTTTACCATTTTTTTTACCTCTTGATATGTTCCTTTGATGGCCTTTGGAGGAAAATGAATCCTTGAGCAAGAACTTGGTTTGCTGCCCATTGTGTTAGCTTCTGCTTCATTTAAACCTTCACTGGATTACCTCTTCTACACACCATATAAATATTTGCTTTATTTTTTGTAGGTTAATGCTATCTAGCAGTCCTGGCATCTTCATTGGCAAGAGCTTGAGTCAATTTATTAAACCAATCTGCTTTGTCACATAAATCTATCTATCTGGAGGGCTTGTTACAGTCATTTGTTATCAACTTAGACCACAAGGAAATTATATAACAGCTTGTACCACCTCCTGTAGAACAATTCAATGCCACAGTGCTTGATCACAATCAACGGTGTCAAAATGAAGCATGCTCCATTTCCAACGGTTATAATGGTAAACTTAAAATGCCAAGTCTTATTCGCAGCACCCTGCAGTAGTAAATTAATACCGATATACATCTACGTTATATAGCCACCCATCTCATATTTATGACTCTGGGTAGCTTACAAACAGGTAAAAAAATATACAACTTAAAAAAAAAATCTCTTAAATTTAAAAATGTATTGTGTGCATAAAATAAAAAGACGCTCTTACCACTTGCTTTTCAGCAGCCACCACGGCTGCTGCAGCTGCAACTGTCTGTCTTCCCAGGCCTGTAGTGTTAGTGCAATCTGGAGGTGTGCCTTTCACACTGGAGAAATAATTGGGCAGGGCAGCTTTGGGAGCTGTTCTGGCATGGAAGAGTGAATGGTTACAAGGGTAAGAAAAAGAACGTGAGGGATGCTGACTCTGGGCTCTTTGCTTCCATCCAACTTTGAACTGACTGTGAACTGGAGTTGCTGGTGGATGATAAGGAGGGGGAGGAGGAGGCAGTGGTGGATGGAAGGCCACAAAAGAGTCTAGGTCTGTAAACATGGTTTCTGCAGTGGGCGTGCTGTTCACACGACATCGGCCTGACTGTCTCAAGCTCAGAAGTGGGCTTTCGTCTCCAAAGTGCTCGTCAGGGAAGAACTTGTGAGGATTCTGCAGCAGAAAGACAGAACAAGAAATGCAGGGAGAGATCACAGAAACTTCTGCATTTCAACTCTTCAACTCCATACAGATAAATGGATGGTCGTACTTTGTCCTCCATGCCAACAATATGGAAACATGGTATGTTTGCATTACAATTATTTTGCCTGGGCAAAACAAACATAACATGCCAGCCCAATGGGATCTATATACGTATCTAATTACAGAGTGGACAAGTGGGCAAAATACAGTAACTTTTCCTGTTCCATCTTAAGCATAAAACTACATAAATTCTCATCCTGTAGATCATGATAGGGTGACTCTGTACTGTATGGGCTTTAGGTCTAGGGCAGGGTTGGCAACCCTGGCTCTTTTATGACTCGTGGACTTCAACTCCCAGAATTCCTGAGCCAGCATGGTTTTTAACATCTTCCTGAGCCAGCAGGGTTTTTAACATCTTTTTATCAGCATATTTGAACCTAAAGCTTTAGATGACTACAATTTTTATTAAGCATTTTCATTGTTTTGCATGGTAGATAACTCACATTTAGAATAGAGCAGTATAAAGGAGCAATGGGAATACTTTCTTGCTCATCAGTTAGAAACCAGGTCATCTGACCTACAGTATTCTTTTTTGACATTACAATATGTAACTGCAATGTTCCCTTTAAGCTTTCCTCCGTGAATGAGTGCACTCTTCAACACTTTTGCACATGCTAGTTACTTCTGACATTGAATGCATGCAGGTTCCACCAGCTTACTTGCATGCTGCCTTCATCGCTTCATACCTGCAACAACTCAGCAGCAGAATCAGAAAGTCCAAATTCCCTCAATACACGGATCTGAATCTCATAACTGACCGTGGCTCCTTCTCCACAGTTCAGAGCATAAGCTCGCTGGACTTGCTCAGTATGGCGGAGCTCTTGCAGCCGTCTGACCATTTCTTTAACAACAGAGAGATGAGGAACTGAGAAAAAAACAAACCGAAAACAATCCGAATTGAAATTTGTTCTGCATCCTTGTAATGAGCTTCAACAGAGCCCAAGTTTATTTAAGGTAGATATTTACGCTAAGAAAGAACTTATCCAAAAGCAATTGTTCAGAAAGACATGTGTCAGCAATAATGACTCAAGCTACAAAGTTGGGCAGAGAACAATACAGATGAATTTCCTTCATTTCCATCTTATAGTGAAACCCACTGAAAACTTTACCATTCAGATCAGTTTTCCCACCTGAATTCAGTATAAGCACCTGAAGGCAGGACAAGAAGAAATGGGTGGAAATTAATCAAGGAAAGAAGCAACCTAGAACTGAGAAATTTCCTGACAGTTAGAAAAATTAACCAGTGGAACAGCTTGCCTCCAGAAATTGTGGGTGATTTTAAAGAAGAAATTGGACAACAATTTGTCTGAAATGGTATAGAGCAGTGATGGCGAACCTTTTAGAGACCGAGTGCCCAAACTGCAACCCAAAACCACTTATGCATCGTTGGGTGCCGGGTGAGTGTGGCCCATTGGGTGGGTGTGGCCCATTGGGTGGGCATGGCAGCGGGGGGTAACGGCAGACTGGGTGGGACTAAAAAGTTCAATCAATCAATTCCAACTTTGCAAGATTTTTTTTTCCTGCGAGAAGTTGAAATTGACTGATTGATTGAACCTTTTTTTTTTTTGCACACGGTGGCAGAGGCCTAAAGTGAAAAGGTTTTATAAAACCCAGCTGAAGGCCTAGGACTGGGGCGACGGCGCGCGTGCCCACAGAGAGGGCTCTGAGTGCCGCCTCTGGCACCCGTGCCATAGGTTCGCCACCACTAGTATAGAGTTTCCTGCTTGAGCAGGGGATTGGACCAGAAGAAAGAGCTCCAAGATCCCTTCCAATTCTGTTATTCTGTTATCGTTCCTGGATGTTCTTTATGCAAAATGGACCATCAACACTACCCATCCTCCCAAGTATTTCCAAATTTGCTCTATGGGTCGAGATGCACTCTGCAGCACATGTGGGAATCCTCTCTAATGCTATGCAATCGAGCTGCCGGTACAACTAAGGTCTAACTCCTTTTACAGTATTTCCCCACTAATATTTTCCAAGAAATCTCTTCATTCTACCTCTTTCCATTAGTTTAGCCAATATGAATAACAGAATAACAGAATTGGAATGGATCTTGGAGGTCTTCTAGTCCAACCCCCGGCTCAGGAGGGAAACAAATGGCTGTCCAGTCTCTTCTTAAAAACTTCCAGTGTTGGACCACTTACAACTTCTGGAGGCAAATCGTTTCACTGATTAATTGTTCTAACTGTCAGGACATTTCTCTTTAGTTCTAGATTGGTTCTCTCCTTGATTAGTTTCCATTCGATGTTTCTTGTCCTGTCTTCAGGTGCTTATACTGAATTCAGGTGGTCTGAATGGTAAAGTTTTCAATGGGTTCACTAAGATGGAAATGAAGGAAATGCAGCTGTACTGTCCTCTGTCCCTTAAATACATTGTAAGATAATTTTTAACAGAGTTTTGTTGCAGCTTCCAAATCTGTCTGTTATTTAATTTCCAGAAGTTCCCTCTTTGATTGCATATTTTTTTTGTCATTTTGAATTGGGGAAATAAATGAAAACTGCTATGTAAGAAAACAAGCTTTCTATAGTTTTTTTTTTTAAAGGATCCAACTACCTCCCAAAGGGAAAAAAAATCCTCCTGAAATATTCCAGCTTCATTCATCTTCATGAATCAATGTTGCCCACTGTGGCCTTCCCCCCCCCCCCAAAGCTTTCAAAGTCACCCGACCCACCACAAATTTATTTGTCCTTACAAGCGCTATCCAGCTTGGCTCAGTGTCTTCAACTATTCTGGTCACTGATCAAGGCTGATCATCACCAGCTGATAATCCTATACCAATCCAGTGACTGGAATTAATTTCAAGGGTTGACGGTTTGTGTTCAACAATAATTTTCTTGATCATAACCGCAAGATAACTGTAGCAGCTATGCAGCTCAGCTTTTATTATGCTGTTCACAACTCCCAAGGATTGTTTTGCATGAGGAGGAACACGTGTAATAAAAAGCAGTTTTCTAGCCAAATCTGGGCATCCCGTTTTCTTCTCTCTTACCACTGATGGATTGCTGTGAGTAGCAAAGCATGGGACAGGATCAAATACCTTTACTTCCAATACCATATTGGCAGCTGGCAAAAAGCTAATTCTTGAGTGCTGGCACCACACTTGTCCTCCTGAAATTCACTTTTGGCAGTTCATTTAAGCTTAGTTCTTGGATTGGCTTCAATGAAGGTCAGCATTTGGAGGACTGCTTTATAAAAGTCTTTCTCTTATATATAAACTTTAAATGAAGAATGCCCATAAAAATTTCTGGCATCACAAGAACCTTTGCACACCATCCACTGTTTATGCATGTTCTAATACACATGCTATACCCCAAACTTGAAGCAACCATGGCTACATCTTGTTTTATATCAACAATCTCTGTGGTACTTCTTAGTACGAATATATTATGTCAAACATAAACATCCACCACTTTCTTTTTTGATTATGCAGAAATGTATGTATTTTTAAAGTGAGTCTCACATTAATCAAAAATACCAAACTAATATGAATTTATGAATTATGCAAGCATGCATTACGGTGAACTAATACATTTTACTTCTGTCTAAACTTGGATAATGGAAATGGAAAAAGGGAGAAATGTTTTTTCTATTAACATATTTACGTTGGACCAGCTTGCACAGGACAAAATTCCCACATTCATTTTTTTTTCTTTGCAATGAAGAGATCTAGAAATGCCCTGTTAAAATTATCAGAGTATTATGACCCTATATTCATTATCATACACTTGTCCTCCTGTTTTTATTTTTTCATGAAACTCTAATCATGTTGACTCTGGTATTTCAGTGTTAAAGAATTTTGCAACCAATAACAATGTATTTATGAATTGGGTTTATAAACATACCTGGAATTTCATTGGCTACAACTGAAGGAGGACTGGACTGATTACTGGTCATTTGCTGGTGATTTATCATATGACAGCACTGTGGAACAGCATTGTTTACCATGTAGAGGGTATCTGGTACATTGGACATTCTAACCATCCGTAAACGGACAAGGTCAGTTTGTTCTACCATCATCTCATCCAGAAGTGACTGAAACAACAAAGGTAAAAGAAATGTTTTGCTCTAATGTACTGATATAAAAAGGTAATAAATACTAGATATAGCCTTCTTTTTTAAAAAAGTGACCATATAATAGTAGATAAGAATAGATAATAAAATATTACATTCCAGAAAGTATAGTTTTCTTTCCTTTATGTATAATTTTATATATTCTTTATATTAAACATGGGCAGCTTCTACTCTTATGACTCACTAATCCTTTTTTTTCATGTAAATCATTCAGATGATTTTAATGGGCTCACTAATATTCAAAGAAGCTACTCTGCTAATGTGGGTCTTAATTCATCAATCTTACAAACACAAACCACCTGCATATTACCTGAAATATTGCTGATAACCAAAAATATCAAAGGATTTCACTGTACAAAGAACAAGGGTTGCAAAAAAAAATCTTCATGTAAAATTTATTTATTTATTTATTTATTTATTAAATTTATATACCGCCCTATCTCCCTTGTGGGACTCAGGGCGGTGAACAGGCGATACTAAAAACCACGAATAAATAAATAGTTTCTGTTTTAAAATCGAATTGTAGTGCATTATAGTGCAAACTGTCTTGAATAAATAATGCACAAACAGAAAACAGGATCAGATTTCACACTGTCTGACCAATCTGGGAAACTGAATTGCATCAAAGATCTGGATTATCTCTCCCTACACCTCTGGTGGGCAGAAAGTGGCTGGCAAGCCTTTCTTCTTGAAAGCAGTCCGTAGAAGAAGACATTCACAAAGAGTGTGCAGTTCTTTCTCTTGTAAATAAAAGCACGCAGTCCCTTCCTGCACACCCAGAAGGAGGCTGACAGTCATGGCTCAGTTCTGTTTAGGAAGAGGATGCCTTCCTCTGTCCAGGCAAACTGGAAAGTGTATATATGTATGGGGGTGAAGGGGATGGAGCATGCTCAGGGAAAACTCAAATAGATGAGAAGAGATAATAATAATAATAATAATGATAAAGTTGGAAGGGACCTCGGAGGTCATCTAGTCCAACCTCCTGCTCAGGCAGGAAACCCTATACCATTTCGGACAAATGGCTGTCCAGTTTCTTCTTAAAAACTTCCAGTGTTGGCGCATTCACCGCTTCTGGAGGCAGGTTGTTCCACTGGTTAATTGTTCTAACTGTCAGG